CTATGCAAGTTCTAAATGAACTAAGGATTTTGATCATTGTCATCATGTTGGCTTTTTAGGGAGAGAACACACAAAATTAATCCACAGTAGAAGCCTCTTGCCAAACAAAGGGAGGGAGCGATTGTAACTTTGGGTTGTTGGGAAAGTCTAGACTGAGCAAGGAAGTTCAGGTAGATGAGATGTGACAACGTATTGTGCTCAGGAGCTCTGCTACTCAGAGCATCAAGTGTGTCAAATGATGCTTACTGTAGACACGCTGGTCCCAAGGACTGCTCTCTGGCGGGCGCAAGAGGGCCACCGGAGGCTCTTCAGTGGTTAGGCCTGTAGAAAAAAATGTATAGGTTTTCCTGATAGTATGTAGTTCAAATGTCAATGAGCAAAAAACAGGAAGGAGAAATGGTAAGGGTACAGAAGTTGGTCCTAAATGGGGGCAAGAGGAAGTACGAGCTAAAATGGGTATATGACTTTCTTGATTAGCTGTGGAGAGGGGTGGAATGTGCGGAGAATCTGGAATATTCCTAAATTTCTAGCTGTGTCAGGTTAGGTTACTGAGATGGGGTTTATGGGAAGGGAAGCGTATTGTAGAGACAAATCACACACATCTTCCCTCAAAATCAACAGTTAGGGCCTAGGGAGATGGCTCAGTGGGGAAAGAGCTTGCCATGCAATCATGATCTGGAGTTGGAGTCCTCTAAGGCAATGTGAATGCTGGGCGGAGGTGTTTGTAGAGGAATCCCAGGGTCATTGGTCATCAGCCTGGCAAAGAATGTGTGAGCTCTAGATTCAGTGAGAGACCCTGTCTCAGAAAAGTTAAGGTGGAGGAGGAAGACTTGCCACATCAACCTCTGACTTCTCTGTGCATGCTCATGCAGCAGACATAAAACACGCAGGCGCCTAGAAGTTGCCAACACCTGGCTCTGATAAGGCTGGGAATGAGTGACATGGAGAGATTTTGCAGACTTGGCAGGATTTTGTGGCCAGTGGCCTGTGTGGATGTGTGGCTGGTCTTAGGGGAACAGTCCTTGTCTCACCTTCAGGTTGGTGTTAGCTGTGGGTCTTATATTGGTGCTATTTGTCAGATTGCGAAATGTAATCGTACTTTGCAGTCTCTTGATGATTAGAAGGTGTTTGGTTCTGTTAAATATTTTCTTAGTATCTGCTAAGGTCTTTTTTTTTCTTTATTTAACTGTGGTATATGACATTGATTTTTTTGTTTTTTTGTTTGTTGTTTTTGGTTTTTTGGAGTGTGCGTGTGTGGAAATCAAAAGACCCAAGAGTCTGTGTTTTTCTTGTACTGTGTGGGTTCTGAGAGTCAGACTCAAGTTATCAGTTCTTACCTGCTGAGCCAATAACCTTTTGGCCCAATAACTTTTTGTTTTTATTTAGATTTATTTATCATATATACCGTGTTCTGTCTGCCTATATGTCTGCAGGCCAGAAGAGGGCACCAGATCTCCTTACAGATGGTTGTGACCTACCATGTGTGTGCTGGGAATTGAACTCAGGCCAGGCCACCGTGAGCCGCTGGCATCTGCATGGAGAAGAGACTCGGTAGAAGGGCAGCAGAGATAGGACAAGCAGGAGAGCGAGAGACATTTTTACCAGGAGCATAAGAGGTCTAGGGAGACAGGACATACCCAGGAGGAAGGAGGCTCCCGCCCCGAGACAGGCTTAGCCGTGATGCGAAGTGACAGGGCACTGCGGTGGCAGGAGGGAGTTTCAGCATTCTGGGAAGAGGAGGGAAACAGACAAGTCTAGGGAAAGAGATTGCTTAGCAGAGAGGTACAATAAAGCTTAGATATACAGTAACTCCTTCCGTTTACCTGTCTGCTGGCAGTAACTGGAAAGGTTCCTTGAAATTTTAATGGTCTAAAGAGGCATTAAGTGGTCAATTTGAAGTATATTTCCCATGGGTGAGGCCGGAAGTGGCACAGATAGCTCTTGGAACTCGTCAACCCGAGAGCAAGGCAAGGGCAAGGCCCAGTAGGACTCAGCAGTCCGATAGGACTCAGCTGTCCAAAGGCGGCAATAAGAAACCGCAGAAGGCTTACGGCTGAAACGAGTATACGGTTCAGCCAGTGCGAGTGTGGTGCTGGACCTCACCCGTGGGAGATGTACTAGAGGTGGTGGTCAGAGAGAGGGATCAGTCGTGACCTTAGAGACTGTGGCTGGGGGCTCCCCTGCTTCCAAGAACACCAGAAGGGTGCCAGACAAAATCGGTGCTCAATCCTTGGGGTTCAGAGAAACGTTTATGCTGACAGGGGGAAGGGGTGCCTTACTGGATCACAGTGAACAGGTAGATGAAAAGTGTTCGGGATCAGAATCCCTGAGTATCTCCAGCCACCCGTGAGCAGGTGACCGGAGAGATTTCGGAGACAGCCTGAGTGGCTTTTGGCACCACCAATGTTGCTCTTTTGTTTAAATTACAGGTGCGATGGAACATGAACCAAGAGATTCATTAACCACGTGGAGTTTATTAAAGGGAAAGGGAAGAAGAGAAGGGGGGAAGGGGGGAAAGAAAGAAGCAGAGAAGGGAGAGTGAGTGGAGAGAGAGAGAAGAGAGGAGAGAGGAGAGAGAGCATGTGGAGATGCATGCTGATATGAGTGCCCCGCCCATTGTCAGGGGGTGGGAGTCAGCATAATACTGGGTTCCAACACTCTGCAGGCCAGAAGAGTACACCAGATCACATGACAAATGGTTGTGAGCCACCATGTGGGTGCTGGGAATTGAACTCAGGACCTCTGCAAGACCAGCTAGTGTTCTTAACCACTGAGTTATCTCTTCAGTACCCTCCCCCCCAATAACTTTTTAAAAGGCTATTACAACTATAAATTTCCCTGTTATTCATGGAATTAGTTGCATTCTATAAGTTTTGTGTTGCATTTTTCAACTTACCTGAAAGTATTTTATTTGTATTACAAAAAAAAATCTATTTTGTGTGGATGGGTGTTTTGCTCTTGCATGTATGTCTGTGCTCCACATGTTTGCAGTACCTGAAGATGCCAGCAGATGGTGCCATGTTCCCCTGGAACTGGAGTCATGGATAGTGCTGAGCCACCATGTGAATGCTGGGAACCAAACCTGGGTCATCTGTCTTCAAGAATGACAAATGCTCTTAACTGCTGAGCCACCTCTCCAGCCCTTCCTGGTTTTTGATGGCTAATTTTAACTCACTGTCATCAGAGAACATGCTTCTCAGGATTTGGATTTTTTAAAATGAATTTTTACTATTTTAAATTGTGTGTGTGTGTGTGTGTGTGTGTGTGTGTGTGTGTGTGTGTGTGTGTGTGTGTGTGTGTGTGTGTTCAGGTGCCTGAGGAGGCCAGCAGAGGGCATAGGATCTCCCAGAGCTGGAGTTATGGGCAGGTGGTTAAGGACTGCATGACATGGATTCTGGGAACTGAACTCTGGTCCTCTGCAAGAGCAGTAAATGTGCTCAGCTGCTGAGCCGTTTCTCTGGGCTGGGCCCTGTGATTTGATTATTTTAAAAAACATTGAGGTTTATTTTAGCTTGATGAGTGGATTTGGTCTGAAGAATCTTCTGTGTACATCTGAGAATGAATGTTTTTCTGCTATTGTTGTGTAGTATTGTGTAGTATTTTGTTAGTATGTTAGCCTAACTGGTTTGTAGTGTTCCAGTTTTTTCTTTTCATGCTGATTCACTGAAGGTGAGTTTTCTAATGCAGTTTTCTTCTTGTGCTCAAACTGCATTATTTTAACCCAAGATATGAGACAGGAGGGAAGGGTTTAAATCCCAAATCTAAAGCTCTGTCAGTTGTTTCTGACCCCTCCCCCCCTGCCCCACCCTACAAGCTGCAGATCTGTGTTTTTCGTCTGTAGGGAAATGTTTTGTCAAACCCAGTGCATACAGATAAATCATAAACTTGAAGTCAGGGAAAAGCAGCCAACCCAGGTCACTGATAATCTGTGGTAGTTGCTTTTTTTTTTAGACTCTTTGGGGATCCCCTACTCAGCTCCCAAATAAATACACACAGAGGTTCATCCTGACTTGTAAACAAATGGTCTTAGCTCAGCCTTTCTGTAGTCAGGTTTTCTAACTTAAATTATCCTGAATTTCTTTTTTTTTTTTTTTTTTTTTTTTTGGTTTTACGAGACAGGGTTTCTCTGTTTTGGAGGCTGTCGGTCCAGCCTGGCCTCGAACTCACAGAGATCCGCCTGCCTCTGCCTCCGGAGTGCTGGGATTAAAGGCGTACGCCACCAACGCCGGGCTTATCCTGAATTTCTTTAACTATGCTTTCCCTCTGGGTTTTTTTCCTTTTTTTTGTTTGTTTTTTTCCAGACAATGTTTCTCTGTGTAGCTTTGGAGCCTATCCTGGCATTCCCTCTGTAGACCAAACTGACCTTGAACTCACAGAGATCCGCCTGCCTCTGCCTCCTGAGTCCTGGGATTAAAGGTGTGCGCCACCAAAGCCTGGCCCTTTTTTCCTTTCTTTACTCTATATATCTTTCTTTCCTTCTTACTCCATTGTTGGCCCTTGGTGTCCTCCTCTTATTTTCTTACTGGGTCATCTCTAGGTTCCTCTTCCTAGTTATTCTCTCTGCATGCCAGCTCTGCCTGTCCTTTCTCCTGCCTAGCTATTGGCATGTTCAACTCTTTATTAGACCAATCAGGTGTTTTAGGCAGGCAAAGTAACACAGCTTTACAGAGGTAAACTTATGCAGCAAAGAATAATGCAACACATCTTAAATATTACACAAAATTCTTTCTTGACACTCTGCCCTTATCCTCCAACCCTCCTGGAGTTAAGCTCTGAGAATCTCCTCATAACTCCTGTTTGAAAACCATTGTGTTTCACCACACTTAGTCACTCAGTAAGAACAATTGTAAGTTGCCAGAAAATGTGGTTGGAGGCTCTCTGCTTCGTATTTTATGGCAGCCCATTTCATATTCACAGAGTTGTCCATGCCACCTATACCTGTTTTTGTAACAGTACTGTGAAAGATGCATGCTAATAGGCTTAACTTCTTTGTCTTGAAGGTTGTGGCAGCAGTGCCTGAAGATATGACAGCAAGCTTTGATCCTAGTGGGGCATCATTGGAATTGGTGACATGTGTGCTAACCCTTGGACTGCTTGCTATTGTCTTATTTCTTTGGAGAGGCTTCAGATCAGTAAGTAACCACTCATAGTAAGAGAATGGTCATTTTGTTTTTGTTTTTTAAATTTATATTCTTTTATGTGTATGACTGTTTTGCATGTATGTATGTATATCATGAGTTCCTGGTACATAAGGAGGTGAGAAGAGGGCATTTTTTGATTCCCAGGTACTGGAGTTACTGATGATTGTGAGCTACAATATGGATGATGGGAGTTGAATCTTGGTCCTCTACAAGAGTAGCAAGTGCTCTTAACCCCTGAGTCAACTCTGTATGTTTAGACTGAACAACTAATTGGAGAAACTTGCTATTTCAGGGAAATAAGTTAGGTCACAGTGTTCATGGTTACTCATGGTAAAATGAATACAGTTTTAGAGAAATATTTTTGTGTGTAAGGATGTTTTAAAAGAGTTTCTTTGTAGGGGTACTGTATATACTAGTACTAAAGCCCCACCCTTCTTTCTTTCCCTGGTTCTTCTTTTTCTTGGGTGGGAGATGGCGGTTCTGTGTTTGTTTTTAACAGTATTAAAATGCCAGCAGATGTATCTACCTCCCAACATAGAGTAAAAAACCCTACTGTATATGCAGCTAATAATCCCTGATTTCATTCCTATGGACTGCTGTGTAGAGGTACGCTTGTCCTGGATCCTGTATTGCTTATTCCTATATTTAATTTATTTATTTTAGGAGGGAGTCATGCCATATCCTTTTCTTTCTGAGACTTCTTTTTTAGATGTTTGCCCTTGTGCTCTGACTTCATTTCTAATTTCTTCATGGTTTTCTAGTTCCCTCCAGAAGGAGACCCTCTACTGGTGTTGCCCTTCCTTATCTTCGGTATACACACATCCCAATGTATCTCGTGTTTTCCAGCTTTTCTTCTGATTTTCTGTCTCTGTTTTCTAGGTGGTAGACGTCTGCTTGTTTGCTTCCCTTGCTCAATTTACTCTAGCCCCAGTGCTCTCCAGGGTGGATTTATCCCTTCTTCATTGAGAGCTTCTTTGAGAAGTAAAAGTCTAATGACTTTATTAGAGTCAGTCCAGGTCTAGAGCCCCTTGATATTTCATAGACTTTTATTTTGATTATTAACAATAGGAGACTTTATAAAAGGGGCTCTGTAAAATACTTGTTTTAGGTCCCAAATATATGTTTGGGAAACATGGATTTAAGTGGAATTTAGCAGGTGACTTTGGTATGAGGCTGTTTCAGAGTCTTTAGTATGTTAACACTCAGTGTAAATCTTCAATGGGAGATCTTACTATGTAGCATTGTTTTCACTGGAAATAGAATGCTTTTGGGTAAGTCATTCACTGTAAGGCCATAACAAAGTTGTTATCTTAAAACTTGGAGTACATGTGATATAGATTTACTTGAAGGAATATTTGTTTTAATGTAATTTTGTTTAAAATTTGTTTCAGATTCAAAGCCGATTTTATGTTGGTAAGTAGTCATTTTGATTTTAGATCTTGTGGTTGTATATAATTTAAAAACTGATCACACTTAGTCATAATAATCTTTCTTTTGCTTTCTCAGTAAGGGAGAAAAAACTGGCTCTCGAACTTTCTGTGCTACTGAAAGAGAAATGTAAACTACTTGAACAAGTGAGCCTTGCTCAAAAGGAGGTAAGACTTGTTTGAAAATAACATCCATCGTAGTGTGGCACTTACTGGTTCTCCACGGATGATTCCGTGTCATCAGAGCTGTGTCAGAGCAGAGCTCCCTGCTCCTCACCTTCATCACTTAGCCATTCTCTTTGCAGCCACCCTGGTGATGTATGGTGCTTGTCTTCCCTGACAGATAGTGAGAGGAGGGAGCACCTTGATTTGCTCATTGCTCATTGGATATTGTGAAATTGCCTTTAGGGCTTTTTCACCTTAAAACATGACTTTATTATTATTGTATGTGTCTATTTGTGTCTGTGTGAGAGTGTGTATGTACCAAGAAGGCATTTGTGTGGTGATCATAGGATGTGGAGGAGTCAGTTTTCTCCCATTACCATGTGGGCTCCTGGGATTGAACTCAGGTTATCAGTCTTTGCACCAAGCTCTTCAACTACGGAGCCATCTTGCTGGCCCATTTCTACCCTTTTAAAGGCACTCATAATCTTTTTCCCTTTAGGTAATATAGAAGAAGGGTTTTTGTTTTTAATATTTTTTATCTTATATATGAGTTTTGTCAGATATGTGGATTGCAAATATCTTCTACTCTGTGGATTATATTTCTGTTTTGTTTGGTTTCTTAGAAGTTGGAGGTCTAGAATTACAGTTTTAATGTGCTGTAATGTGTCATGAAATTTTCTCTCATCAAGGATATAAAGGAACTTTTGCTTGGTGTCGTGTAGACACTTTACTCACTGTTTTCATTTGGGCTTTGTATTAGCTTGCTAGGGCTGCTGTGACAAAATGCCACTTTAGCAGCAGGAGTGAATTTTCTTACAGTTCTGGAAACGGGTCCATGGAGATGTAGGCAGACTTTGCTTCGTCTGTGGCCTGTCCCTTGTAGTTACCACTGTCTGCTTGTTGTGTCTCACTCTGTCTTAATGCTCTCATGTTAGGATACCAGTCATGTTAGTTTGGGTCATCTTAACAGCATCAGTTTAACCTAGTTATTTTTAAAGGCTTTGTTTCCAAATATCACACATTCTGAGGTGCTGAGACTTAAGAGACATGGTTTCTCTGTGTATCCCTGAAGATCAGGCTGGTCTCCAACTCACAGATTTTGTCTTCCCTGCGGATCTGAAACTTAAAGATTTTATCTTCCTTACTTGCCTTATTTGACACATAATGTAAATGTCTGATAGCCTGTTACTACACATTGCTCTATTGATAGACTGGAGAAGCTGTGATTTGTTCAGGGGATCATAGATGACTCACTTCTTTGGATAAGCTTTAGTCACTCTTGCTGTTAGACTTTTCACCCTCAGCAGACTTGGGACATCTTTGCTAGTCACAAGGGTAAAGTTCTGCCATATGTTGCCCAGGCTGGTGGTTGTGGTGTTTGTGACCCTGGTTTTGCTCAGCACAGTGGTTAGATTGCAAAACTAAGCTCAGAAAATCCAAGAGAATTTTACCTATGTGGCTATAGATTGTTTGCTTCTTTGACACCTATTTAGATACAATTTGAGATAAATTTGTAGTTTTTACTCACGTGTTGCCTTGTTTCATTCAGTATGAAGGCTTAGAGTCATCTTTAAAGGAGGCCAACTTTGACAAGGCGTCAACAGAAGCACAGAGTTTGGAGGTAAAATAAAGTATGGTTTAAAAGCTAGGGAAAAGATTCTTATTAAAAATACGTCATCTTCTCAAAAGTAATTATTTCAGAGAAATATGAAATGGTGTATCTGGATCTTAAACTTTACAGAAAAAGTATAGAGGAAACAACATTTGTAGGTAGCATAAAACATTAAAAAATAAAACAAATTCAGCTCTTGTTATTAACTTGTTTTGAAGGATAATAAATCAGTTTATCATAATCTATTGATTTATAGAAAGAAATACTTTACTCTGTACTCCTAAGAATGCATTGAAAAGACCATTCCTTTTTTTTTGGCATACTTTGCTTCAGGAAAAACACACAGAACTCTCACATATTTAAGAATAGTAGGAGACAAGTAAGTTTGACCACATTTTCTTTTTTCTTACCATGGTAGTAGGCATTAACTCAAAATTAGACCAGAGGTTTACATTGTAAATAGTGGCATGGTGGTAAATATTCAGTCCCTGTCTGTACTCTCCATCATGTCCAGTTTTCAGTCAGTGACATGATACCACTGAATGGAGAGTTTAGGAGAGATGGACAGTTAACTGTCCTGCTTCAGAGGACACAATGGATGTGATGGAGTGCCTCAATACTGTTTGCAGATGGAAGGGTTGTAAAAAGTGAATTGTGAGCCTGTATCGTAAGTAGAAGCAGCCTGCAGGATAAAATAGAAAACAGACCTTTTACCTTTGATTTAGGTGTTTAGTCCAGCGTGGCAGTTGTGTCATCTGTCCTCAGTAGAAAGTCTGTGCCTTATGATTTAGAATGACCTTGTAGAACCCATAAGAAGTTTAGACTCCAAATACATTCCTTAACGTTTTTTCATTATTTGTTACCTATGAATGTCTTCAAGAACCCTTTGTAGTTGCTGTTTTATTTAGTAAGCCTCAAGAACCTTTTGTGATTGCTATTTGTTATTTGTTGGGCCTGTATTGTAAGTGCTATCCTAATGGGAACTTACTAGTTTCCTGGGATAAAAGGAATTTAGGCAGGTGTGGGAGATGCTTATCGTCACAGCTATGTCGTGGAGGGGGGCCAGTGTTGAAGGATTACTGAATCTGTCTCAAAACACACCACACACACACACACACACACACACACAATCAAAACAAAACAAATGCCACACACACATACACACAAACTCAAAACCCATAAAGAGTTTTAGAAGCTTCCCCTTGGCATGTATGCTGGCAGAATATTTGTTCCTGGTTAATAAAGACAAATATTTGTTCAGACTGGGTGTTACAGGTAAACACACACTTTTTTTGTTTTGTTTTGCTTTTTTTGAGACAGGTTTTCTCTGTATTGTTTTGGAGGCTGTCCTGGAACTCTCTCTGTAGACCAGGCTGGCCTCGAACTCACAGAGATCCGCCTGCCTGTGCCTCCCGAGTGCTGGGATCAAAGGGGTCGCCCAGCAAACACACACTTCTTATGACAATAAATTTATGTGAATTATGAGTAAGATGAGTTGAGATTTGGCTACATTGAATACCTTAGAAAATTATTTAGTATTAGTAATTGGAACCATCTTTAGGGGTAGTGATCATAGTTGGACACAAACTGTACTGTAATATAAGTTTTACAAAGCTTGAGAGTTGACTTTGCAGGTAAAAATCAAACCAATAGAGTAATCTTGATTTAAGCCAGAAGTCCTATAATGAAATAGTCAAATACGTGGAGATTATAGGTAAAATGTTTTTGAGACTACTATAATACATTTTGGTTTTGTTCTTTTATCAAGTTTGTTGAAGGATCACAAATATCAGAGGTATGTTAATTATAATGTCTACAGTCCAAAATCCTATCTAATAATTAATCATTTTAAATTAAAAATATACAAAATGTTATTCAATGGAAAATATGATATAATCTTGATTTTTAAATTTATTTTTCTATTAAATTAAACTTGTCCGTTTTCCTTGTAACATGCTTTTTAACTTGCTTTAGCACTGTTGACAAGCTGTGCTTACTGGAATTTCCCCATCTTCTGTCTTTGTACATAAAAGTTTTATTGGAATGCAATCATATTAATTCCTTCAGGGATCGTCTTTGTTTGTCATGGTTAGCTGATGGGAGCCTGTAATACTTACACTTTTTATAGTAGTTGCTGTCTACTGCTACACCTGCTGTTATTCTAATATTAGAGAAATGAGCAAATGTATAAAGTGTTTATAAATTTGTTTGGTTATATTCATCTGATTTTTACCCTAACTCAAAATCCTTATTCTTGGCTTGTTAAAGTTAGCTTTTTATTTTAGGCAACCTATAAAAATCTAGAAAGAGATAAGTCTAAACTTGAAGATGAAATACTACTTTTAGAGAGGAAACTCGAAGAAGAAAGAACTAAGCACCATGAACAAGATGAATTGGTGAGTCCTGTGTATTCCAAGAGAATTAAGAATCTTACATATTAATATGATGATGAAAATATTCCACGTGAGCCAGCCATAGTGATGCAAGCCTGTAATCCTAGCCCTTGGGAGGAGGTGGCAAGCGTTCCAAGCTATCCTGGCCTGGCAGGGAGAGGGCACACTATCTTCAAAAATGTAAATAAATAAATAAAATTCCAAAACCAACCTACCAAATAATACATCTAACCAAAGCTAAATGAAACAAAACAGGAAACTCCTGTATGTAAAAAATAGAATATAGAAGACCATGAGAACAAAAATTTCTACATCTGATCTTTTCACTTTTTTTGTTTGTTTGTTGTTTTGTGTTTTGGTTTTTCCAGACAGGGTTTCTCTGTATAATAGCCTGGCTGTCCTGAAACTTACTCTGTAGACCAGGCTATCCTGGAACTCACAGAGATCCACCTACCTCTGCTTCCTGTTTGATGTAATTAAAGGTGTGTGTCACCACTTCCTGTCAAATTTTTACTTTTTAGATGTTATGATCATAAGTGTTTTTTGCATATTCCTTTTTCTTATTGTTTTCATTTGTGAAACAGTCTTAGAATATAGCCCAGTCAGTATAATTGTATAACTGTGTAACTGATGCTGGCCTCAAACTCATGATCTTCCTGCCTGTACCTTCTAAGAACTGGGACTACAAGTGGGCACCCCTACACTTTGCTCGTTTGTACATTTACTTGGAAAATTTCCATATTTGCTGCGGAAGTAACCATAAACAATGTAATGTGAATAACCATAGTGAAGGAGATACACACACACACACACACACTCACACACACACACATTTTAACTTACAATATTTATAACTTTTTTTACTTTAAATTCTGGCATAAGGAAAATCCTGATGTGTGTGAGATTATTTAAAATATGAATTAGTGGGTTCATCTTGAACCTGAAAAGTGCTGTGATACATTGAATTTGTAAAGACGTACTATCATCACATAATTTGTAAAGTCCTTGTGAGCACATGGTAAGCAAGCTGACATGTCCTCTTCATCTGGCATCTCACTTTTATTAATAATAAATTAACAATGTATCTAACTAATGCATGTTGTCTTGGAGAAAAAGGGGCTTATTAAATACTTACTGATATTGTCTTTTCAGATGACAGACATTTCCAAAAGGATACAATCTCTAGAAGATGAATCAAAGTCTGTCACGTCACAACTAGCTGAAGTAAGTTGAATTACTTTAATTGGTCTGTCACTTTTGATGAACATTTATGTTTTCATATTATCATTAGGTATATGAGTCAGAGCTCTCCAGAGGAACAGAATTAACGGGATGACATCTATCATACCTATCTAAAGGGGATTTATTAGAGTGATTGTCAGGCTGTGGTCCAGTTAGTTCATCAATGGCAGTCTACCAACAGAGTTCAAGAATCCAGTAGTTGTTCAGTCTGTGAGGCTGGATGTCTGACCTGATACTCTCAGCATACACCGGAATCCCAAAGAAGTAGCTGTGATGCAGTGGAGAAATGGACTTGCCAGTGAGGGTGAGGACAAACAAGCTTCCTCCCTCCATGTCCTCAGATAGGCTGCTGCCAGAAGGTGTAGCACCTCAGAAGATCCAGATGCAAGGTCGTCTTCCCACTTCAGATGATTTCATTAAGAAACATTACTCACATCTTGCTTGGGTTTTAGTTAATTCCAGATATAGTTGACAACCAAGAATAGCCATCACATTAGGTAATAAACTATTACGTTAGTGTTTGAAATAGAGGGAATGTTAAATATGGACTTGTTTTAACTAGAGTTACTTTGAGTGAAATTCCTTTTCCCCTGGATAGATTTAAACTATGGCTGTATATGAGCACTCTTAAAGTTGTGTAACATGTAACGATAGTAAACAGAGTTGCTTCCTGCAGTATCAGGTTTACAGCAGGAGACAAAGAGTAAGTAGTGTGGGATCTTTCTGGAACAATTACTCCTGCACTAGTGAGTGTGGAAGAGAGATGTCACCAGTGGACTGTAGCCAGGACACCTCCTGAAAGCCTTCAATTGTGGGTCCAGTTTCTTTTCTAAAATCACAAAGTGGGCAGGCAAGAAAGCAAGATTTTTCTGACGTGTACATGGCAGTAGTAGTCGCTAAGGGCAGCAACCCATTGTTTCAGCTGTTTCTCCAGGTCATTCTGTTCCTGGTAGCAAGGGAAGCCATGCTTGGCAAATAGGCAGAGCAAGCAGTGTTTTAAGTAAGTCACTAAATAAACCAATAACTCAGTAACTAAAATTGTTCTTTTCTATCTTTTCTATTTCAGTAGTTAACAGAATTGTCCTCATAGTACATGGAAGATTCAATAATTTGATCAAAGTTACATAGCACATGAGTGTTGATACTGCCTCTGCTGTTAATAGTGGCATGTTTTGGTCTTTGCTTAAATTTTATGTTCTTTGGAGAACATAAACAGGAGGTTTTCTGTTAAACTGTTATAAACTTTGTATTTCTTTTACTTAGGCTAAAACTACCCTTAGAATATTTGAAATAAATGAAGAACGACTTAAGGGAGTAATAAAAGATACCTTGAGTGAAAATTCTCAACTTCAGGAAAGCCAGAAGCAGGTTTGTAGCCTCCAGATACTCTTTGGATCTGAATATAGCCTTTGATGTTCTGGGCACCTCCCAACTGACTGACCCATGTGTGGAGTTGTGTAGTGAAGGAGTAGGCTTTTGAGAGCAGGCTGTTTCCCATGCAGACTTCTATCTCCTATAAAAGATTTAAAAGTGTGTCCTCCTGTCTCTGTCTTCTCCCATGAAAGCAGTAAGACAAGGCAGATACTCACAGGACACAGCGCCTACCAGCAGTCCTCACAGCAGAGAATGCAGTAAGAGTTAACACATTACATGGGGCCTAGAGGAAGGAGGAGTTCTGGGGGCATGGAAAGTGAAAACGTAGCTTTTATTCTCAACCTCCTCTCACTTTGGCACTCCTGCACGTGTGCCCTCCCTTCTGTTGTCCTCATGCAAGATTTGGCATGAAAATTCTGTTTGTCTTTCTGTCTTCTCCGCCCCGTTTCAGACAGACCTCTCTGTCTGAAAAGGTCTTGTTTTTCATTTTTTATAAAGATTTCATTTTATTATTATTATTTTAACTATGTGTCTGTATTTGTGTGCATTTGTGTTCATGATTAAGGTGCCCTCAGAGGCCAGGAGAGGGTGTTGAATCTTCTGGAGTTGGAGTTGTAAGTGGTTGTGACCAACTTGATATGGGTGTTGGGAACTGAACTTCTCTTAGAGAATAGTGCATGGTATTAACCACTGAGCAGTTGCTCCAACTCCTTGTTTAGATAATTATTTTCACTTCTTCATGTTTTTTTTTTTTTTTTTTTTTGCTACAGGGTTTCTCTGTGTAACAGTCCGGACTCCGGACTATTCTGGAACTCACTATGTAGCCCAGGCTGGCCTCAAACCCAGAGATCTTTCTGCCGTGCTGCACATTTTTAAAATAAAATTTTGACATTGCTGCATTGTCTTCCCTTTCCACTTTTGGTTTTGAGACTTGAATGCTGTGTAGATTATGGGGTCTTCTTTGTTTTCTGCGCTTTCTTTCTTTATGAACAATATCTTTCCGTTGTCTTCAGCTCTGTGAGATTATGTGATGATGTGTCACGTAGTGTTTCTTTCATATGTTGAACACTTTCATTCTGGAAACTTTTGATTCTGTGGGTTACTAGAATTATTTATTGTGATAATCTAAAATTTTATTTGTTGATTTTGTGTGTGTGTTGTGTGTGTGTGTGTGTGTGTGTGTATGCATGTTAATGTGTTCATGTGGGTACATATGTGTAACTGTGTGTAGAGACCAGAGAGAGGCCAGAGGCCTTAACAGTACCAGGAATAGATGGATCCCTTTCCTCCTTTTTTTTTGGAAACAGAATCTCTATGTAATACTGGCTATTCTGGATCTCCCTATGCAGATCAGGCTGACCTTGAACTCACAGAATTCCAACTGCCTCTGCCTCCTGAGCACTGAGATAAAAGGTGTGCGTCCCTGGGATGGGCTAGGTTCCATCTTGTTGTCCTAAAGTCCCATTAGAAAGTGGTTGGTTACTTTCATTACACTTATGCCACTCCTGTCCCAGGAGGCATATCTTGCCAGTGTTTGTTATTGCAGTTTGCATGGTTCACAGACAGGTGACATTGATGACTACTTTTTTCCTCTGTTGCATGCATAACACCTTTCAGCACTATTGAAGATCCCCAGTAGGGATGAAACATCCAGCTATATGTATGCCTAAAAGAAACAAAGATGAGTGGCAGAGAATGAGATGTGTATATGCATGTCTAGCAGAAGACAGGAGCAGGAGGGAGGATGGAGAGAAAGCAGGAGCATGAATGTGTGTGCATCTGTGTGTTGGTATGTGCGTATGTGTGCAGGCACCCAAGGAGGCCAGAAGAGGCCATTAGATCCTCTGGAATTATAGGCATTTGTGAGCTTCTCAGTGCAGGTGCAGGGAATTGAGTGTGGGTCTTCTGCAAGAGCAGTATGTGTTTTTAAGTACTCATCTGTCCCTCCAATTCCCCAGTTCTTCCCGTTTGGTTTCCACTCATCACTCTCTTACTACTGCTTCCAAATCATGAGCCTTTCTGGATGGCGTGAAGTCATCTTATTTTCTGTTTGTCTAACCGGCTTAGGTTTCTTCTGTCTATTGTCTGTGGAATCTTTTATCACAGTTGTGTCCCTAATGCTATTTGTCCATTTCCTTTTGGGTTGATGCCTTTCCTTTTACGTCTTTGTTGTGTCATCTTAGATTTCAGAGAACATGGTTGTGAGGACTCCTGTGTAGATTTCCTATGCTATAATCAAATGTGTCTCCTCCTCACTTCTACCATGTAGCCCATGCTAGACAGGAACTCACAGTGCAGCTCAGGCTCAGAGCATCTGCAGAATTTCTGTTCTAGATTAATAGTATTCTTGAGGGTTATCTGTCTTCAGATAGTTCTGAACAAAGCAGCATGGTGACTTAAAAAAAATCATTAAAGTAGTGATTATATGGGATAGGAAGAAGAATTGATTAGATTTATCAGACAAGTATGTGTCAAAATCTTGTTCTTGATAAAACTTTACCTTGTAAATCAGTTGGAGAATATTTGTTATTTCACAGTTTTCTTTTTTTTTTTTTTTTGGTTTTTCGAGACAGGGTTTCTCTGTGGCTTTGGAGGCTGTCCTGGAACTCACTTTGTAGACCAGGCTGGCCTTGAACTCACAGAGATCCGCCTGCCTCTGCCTCCCTAGTGCTGGGATTAAAGGCGTGCGCCACCAACGCCCGGCTATTTCACAGTCTTCTGTTTTGAAAGTTCTTTATAAAAGGGAGCCACATCTGAGTTCCTTTTTTAAGTAGTAGCCTTGCCTTTTTAATATCTTTTAATGATCCATATAAACATGTAAATAAATGCATCTAAACATCTGTTACTGTTTTCCTGTCAGCTCTTACAGGAAGCTGAAGTAATGAAAGAAGAGACTGATGAACTCAATAAACAGAAAGTAACACTTGAAGAATCCAAAGTACAAGCAGAGCAAGTCCTAAATGATAAAGAAAATCAGATCATGGTAATGGCTCGTTGGTTTTGGTGACTTGTTGACCACGATTTCATACTTAATTGGAAATTCAAATGCTTTTAATAACTTTTATTGCTGTTGTGTCATTTCTCATTTCAAATGCTTCTTGAAGACACATAGATTTCTAATATATGTTTACTCCATGTCTTTGTCCTCCACTATTTTAGCCTGGTGTTTATCAATAAAGAAGAAAATAGTGATTTTTACCTTTTCTTGTTATGCTCACATTTGCTGCTGTTTGTTTAAGAAAATGTTTAGAAATTGGGTTTATAGTTTATATGCATTGGCTGAATATTCTTATTATGTCTACTAAGTTTGTGTTACTTACTTCATTCATACGAAAGCTTTTTAAAACATTAAAACTCGGACTGGGAAGGTGGCTCACAGGATAAGTCATGTGTTTCATAAGCCCAGTGATATTAGTTCAGATCCCCAGATTTTAGAAGCTGGATTTAGTAGCATAGTATCTAGTGCCAGTGCCGTGTAGTAGCGAGATGGAGGCAGAGTCCGTCAGAAGCCTTAGGCCAGCTAGCCTGGCTTCCACAGTCCTGGAGAGCCCTTTCTCAAGCAAGGTGGAAAGGAATGAGTGACCCTAAAGGTTGTCTTCTGACTTCTGTAGTTTTGTTGTGGTGTGTGTACTTGAACCTATACATAGGGCTCTCGGTTCACACCCACATACACTAATTGGAACTTGAGTCTAATTGTAGGAATAAAAAATTAACTGTATATAGGCCATTGAGTGTACTCAGTGGGTAAAAGCACTTGGTGTACACTTCCTGACACGAGTTTATTGGATCCTTAGGACTCACATTGTGCAGGGAGAGAACTGACTCTCACAAGTTGCCCTTTGATGTTTGGGCATATGCCATGGCACATATGTTGCTCCCCACTAAATAAATAAATGTGAAAAAACAAGAAAAATGTTTTCAGTAGACTCTAGCTTTAGTTTTATTCACAGTTTGACATATAGTGGACTCTCTGAATTCAACCAATCACAGAATGGTGCTCTTAACAATTCTGGGCTGATGAGATACTTCACTGAGTAAAAGTGATGACCTGAGTTTGGTCCCCAAGCCACGGAAAAGTAAAAAGAGAAAGCCAACTGACACTTCCGTTGTCCTCTGACTTTCATGTGCTTGCCCTACATTCTTAATTCACAGGTACACCAAAACAAACCCTGATAATAAATAAAAGAAAGTAATGGCATCTGTACTGTGCATGTGCAGACTTCCCGTCATTCCCAGAATGATCGGCATAGCAACTGTTAAGGTAGCATTTGTGTTGTATTAGTTATTACAAGTAATCTAGGAGCAGTTTGTGTGTATAGGAAGACACATGTAGGTTATATGCAAACACTGTTACCATGTGTAAAGGGACTTGAACACCCATGGAGTTTGTATTCATGAAGTGACAGTAGCAGGTATCCTGGAGGCAGTGCTCTGTGGATGCCGAGGGATGACTGTACTTTCCTTCCTCTAAACTTCCTTACTCTACTTGGAAGCTCAGGATTCTTCCTAAATGAGAAAGGAATGGGATGTGAGACCTCAGCACTGCTCAGGGTTGCAGGGCATTTTGTTTGTGGCAAGTACTTTTAGATGGCACTTCCCGAGAAATGCATGGTGCATAGTCATCTTGTTACTTGTACCGTCACACTTGGTTTTGGTCAGGAGGCTCAGAAGCACTGTTACCTATGTTTCTAGAAAATATTCTTCACTTCAGAAGGTTAAAAAAGCACTGCTGAGCCAGGCATGGTGGTACACACCTTTAATCCCAGCACTGGGAGGCAGGCAGATCTCTCTGAGCTCCAGGCCAGCCAGGGCTATATGGTCAGACTGTCTCAAAAAACAGCAGCAAAAAACAGTTGGAGAACTTCCAGTGCTCCATTCCAATTCTTTTACAATGTGTCTTTCTTTGTCTCAGTTGTACTTGTAGCTATTTACACGAATATACCAAGAATGTATGGCTTATGTTTTTGTGGATTCGTGCATATGAGTTTCCCTGCAGCTGAGGTTACAGGGAGTTGAGAACTGCTGGATATGGGTGCTGGGAGCGAATTTGGGCCTTCTGCAGGATAACATTTGCTCTTAACTGCTGAACCATCTCTCCAGCAGAGAATTAATTTTTTTAACTTGTGTGTATTTGTATGTGCCCATGTGTAGATATGTACATGTGAGTGCAGTGCCAAGTTGTCTATGATCTTTTTATAGACTTTATAGATATTTTATAGATTTTGTATTTCTCAGAGATGAAACATCACACAACTTTTACCCCCCTTATGTTAATGGCCACTCTGTAGGTGTCCACACAGGCTAGAAGAGGCCATTGGATCTCCTGGAGCTGGAATTACCAGCGGTTTTGAGTGCCTGATATGGGTGCTGGGAAAGGAGCTTAGATGCTCTAGCAGAGTAACGAGTTCCTAACTGCTGAGCTGTCTCCCCAGTTCAACTCCTATTTAGTAAGATATGTAAGAAATGCCATAAGAACCTATTTTAGGGACTGGGGAGACGGTTTAGTGGGTTAGTGCACTTGCTCTGCAAGCATGAGGACCTGTGCTTGAATTCTAAGCACTCACTTAAAAGATGAGCTTGGCTGTGCATGCCTGTAAGCCCAGCACTGGGGATAGAGACTTTGGATCCCAGAGCTTGTTGAATGGCCAAGCTTCTGAAGTAGTGGAGTTCTGATTCCATGGGAAGCTAGAGTGTGATAGAGGAAGACCCTCCATCTTCCTGCCTCATGCTCTTGCAGCCATGTGCATACTCATGTGCATTTGATACACACAGAAGAAAATACTTTATTGTTTGCAGTCATATAATATGGTTAGCAAGAACGACCCTTATAAAACAGTGTTTGATTTTTGTTTTCTCTTCTCTCTTTCCTTTGTTTCTCTCTTTCCCTCCTTCCCACCCTCCTGCCCTCCCTCCATCCCTTCCTTCCTTCCTTCCTTCCTTTTTTTTAGATACAGAGTCTCAAGAGGTAGTCTTTCCTTACCAGAACTCACTTTGTAGATCAGGCTGGCCTCAAACTCAGAGATCTGCCTGCTTCTGCCTTCTGAGTGCTGGCATAAAAGATGTACCATGTTCAGGAAGTTTTGTTTTTTATTTTTTAAGGCTTAATAGTCAATAAACATTGCAGTCACAAAGCAAAAACCAAACAACTACTTAAGTATCCTAATGGCAGGTAGAAAATAAGAGCACATGATGATGTATTTATGTGGATTGATTTAAAATTTTATTATATTTAAAACATACTTGTGTATGTATGTGTGGGGTATGTGCATTCTATGATATGTGTACAGAGTTCAGAAGACAGCTTTTGGAAGGTATTTCTCTTACCATGTGGATTCTGGGGTTCAAACTCAGATCATCAGACTTAGTGACAGTGCCTGTACCTGCTGAGCCATCTCATTGGCTCTGGATTGAGTTTTAAATTACTGTTACTAAATTCTAAATTGTAAAGCTATTAGCACGAGTCATTACCTTCTCTTTTTGTTTTCTCCTTTTGTTCAATATCCAGTCTTTGATGGAGAGCCTGCTAAAGATGAAAGACTGGACTTCCTTGTTTGGAGAAGATGTAACAGATGATGGTAATCTGGATTTAGAAGTCAAGAGTGATTTAGAAAATGATGTGCATGTAGGTATGGTGCCTGGCTTCTTTTTTTCTCTTCATTCTACACGTGTGTCATGTTCCTCGTACACTTGTACTTGGCTGTTACACAGAGAAACTTTTGTCTCGAGAAACAAACAAACAAACACAAAATGTTAATGAGGAATTGGTTTGAAAATACTGTAAATAGCTCAATGGATCTTAGTTTTGTGTGCCATAATATAACCAGCAGCTGTAGTAACAATTTGTGGTGGCCAAGATTAACATACTACAATCTGTCTAAAGCAAAGGGCTTCACAAATTATTCTGACACCCATATGATTAGCAAAAAAAGAAAAAAGAAAAAGAAAGAAAGAAAGAAAAAAAAAAGGTTCCACAGTGGTTATGATCAAAATTTTTAAGTTGTTATAATGCACGCCTTTAATCCCAGCACTCGAGAGGCAGAGGCAGGTGGATCTGTGAGTTCGAGGCCAGCCTGGTCTACAGAGTGAGTTCCAGGACAGCCTCCAAAACAATACAGAGAAACCCTGTCTTGAAATCCCCCCCCCCAAAAAAAATAATGAAGAGATGTATGATACCTAGGACAAAGGAGAAGGAGGCTGCAACTCTGAAGAGGTGATAAAACATTTACTCAAAAGTCTAGCTAAATGAGGTGGTGAGAGTACATAACATTTCAGGACAGATGGACACACTGCTCCTAAAATCGCTAAGGGGAGCTGTAATAAAGTTACATTTGTATTTTTTCATGTTAATTTATCATGTAAGAAATAGTTTTCTAATAGACTTTATGTTTGGAGCCATGGTTCACTAATACTTTGGATGCTGTAATGCCATAAGAGTCTAAGCGTAGTTAAGTTCTTGGACAGTGTTTAGGTGAATATTCAGTTCTTGTTAGGACTTTGTAGTACATTAAATTGCTTTTAATGTCGAGTTTGCTGAATGTAGGTCACTCTACCTTATATAAATTATTATTTTTATTTTAATTACTGTTTTTCTGAGACAGTGTCTCACTGTAGCTCAAGCTGGCCTGGAATTGACCATGTAACCCCGGCTGGCCTCAAACTCATGGCAATCCCCTTGCCTCAACTGTGAAGTGTTGGGATTGTAGGCAAGAGTTCCTAAACTCACCTCCAAATTGTTTATTGTGGCAAGAAAAGGGTTTGTAAGACCAGCTGAGGACTAATGCGTTCATTTGGATGTCTTCAATAATTATGGTTTTATTTTTCCCTGTAGGTAACCAGCCGAAGGGAGTTTTGAAGAAGCTAATTTATGCTACTAAGGTTTGTATTATGTAAATATAAAGATGAGGAGGAGGACCTACAACAGAGATTAAATCTGTCTGTCCTTAGTGACTAATTTAAAGATTGCTTTTATTGTTTTCTTATAAGGTTATATGAGAAATGATTAGAATTTTCTTTTCCTTTAATTTATTTATTTTATGTGCATTGGTGTTTCGCCAGCATGCATGTCTTTGTGAGGGTGTTAGATTCTCTGGAACTGGAGCTACAGACAGTTGTGAGCTGCCATGTGGGTGTTGAAAGTTGAACCCGGGTCCTCTGGAAAAGCAGCCACTGAGCTGTCTCTCCAGCCCCTAGAATTTTCTTTTATCAATTGCCTTTTTTTTTAAAGATTTATTTATTTATCACATATACAATGTTCTGCTTATATACCAGAAGAGGACACCAGATTGAATTGTAGATAGTTGTGAGCTACCATGTGGTTGCTGGGAATTGAACTCAGGACCCCTGGAAGAGCAGGCAAGTGCTCTTAACCTCTGAGCCATCTCTCCAGCCCTATCAATTGCCTTTTTAATTTAACTTTAGATATTTACATACTTAGAGAATTTAGAATAATTTCAAATTTTGCTCACCCTTCCGTCAAAAATACTTAAAAAATGAAAGACGGGCGTTGGTGGTGCACGCCTTTAATCCCAGCACTTGGGAGGCAGAGGCAGTCGGATCTCTGTGAGTTTGAGACCAGCCCCCAAAACATACAGAGAAACCTTGTCTTGAAAAACCAAAAAAAAAAAAAAAACCCAAAAACCAAACAAACGAAAAAAAACCCTAAATATTAATGTATTTATTTTGTAGTTCCCTTTGTGCAATGTTTTCCTTCTGGTTTTGTTATTTTCTTACCCCTGTGGCTCCATATACTATTTTGAGAAGTAAAATAATAGCTTTTTTTTCTTCTGGTTTATTCCTTCTGCATGCTCCTCACTAATCTGTGTTAGAAGCCCTGATAATGTAGTGTGAAGGCTGCTTTAGCAGCTGCACTGATTATGTTGTCCATGAGAGCATCATCAGAGGGAAAATATCTGTAGAATAGTAGTATGGGGTGTGTCAGGGATGTGTGTGTCCTTGTGTAACTGATTATTGCTTTTCTTTTTCTTTCCTTCTTTAAGTTAAGTGCTTCTTTAAAAGCCTTGGAAGGAGAGAGAAACCAAATTTATACTCAGTTATCTGAAGTAGATAAAACAAACGATAACCTTACAGGTAAGGTTTCTTATTGAGCATGTCTCCTTAAAGAAAATGAATTACTTCTGAGTTTTGTTGTTAGTGGTAAAGGTATTATACTGTCTTTTATATTTATGAAATAATCTTTAAAGCATGTAGGACTGTGGAGTACGGTGCATCTTAGGGTTTCTATTGCTGTGAAGAGACACCATGACCATGGCAATTCTTATAAGGAAAACATTTAATTGGATCTGGCTTACAGTTGAGAGTTATAGGGCCTGTAAACTCTATAAACACATTAAAGTAGTAGACCATACTAGTAGTTCCACTGCCAAAGATCAGTTTCACAGTTGTCCATCATCATCGTGGTGACACACAGGTAGACGTGGTGCTGGAAAAAGAGCCAGGAGTTCTATATCTAGATCTGCAGGCAGCAGGAAGAGAGAGAGCCACTGGGTCAGGCTTGAGCATTTGAAACATCAAAGCCCACCCCCAGTGACAACTTCCTTCAACAAGGCCACGCCTCCTAATAGTGCCATTCCCTATGAGCCCATTTTCATTCAAGCCATCACACGGTGTTAAATATTTGATATAGTTTTAGGTGTTAAAAAGTTTTCAATGTAAAATTTTCTTAATTTTTTTTTTATATTTTATTTTCCAGTTTAAATTTAGATAAGAAACGAGGTTGCTTCACAAGTCAGTTCCAGGTCCCTCTCCCATTCCCTCCCCTCCTCCCGTGCCCCCCCCCCGTTATCCCCTCATTTCCCCAGGGAGGGTGAGGCCCTCCATGGGGGTGTCTATTCTTAATTTTTTTTTTTTAAATTGAGAAATTGGTGTTCAGTAGTGGAACTAGTGTGGTCTACTGCTTTTAATGCATGTATAACATACATAGTGATGTTAGACCTATGAGAATTTTTTTATTTGCTGATAATGTTCACATTGAAAAATAAATTCTACCAGTTGTGTTTGGGATGCTTAAAATGTATATCATGTCTCACTATGTCAAAGAAAGAAATTCATATTTTTATATCTGAAAAGAATGGATGGACATACTCAAATGTCTGTACTGGCTAACTCAGGAAGGGACCACAGGCATCTTTTTATTGTATTTCTCCTCATCTATATTTTCTTTCCAAAACAGTCAGTTATTGATCCAGTTACACATGCAGCATTAGCCAACAGCTTCTGCTCATGGAGCTTCATTTCCTTCTGCCTGATGCCTTTCCTGCCAACAGACCGATGATCACAGACAAGGCCCCTTTACTGGTTACCCAGCTAAAACAAAACACACAGGAAAAATCCTTTCAGTGCGAAGAAGGAATGTCTCAACTATGTAGTCAACCATTGCTACAGCTGCCCAGAACTTCACATGTCTCTCTTTTAACTCTCAACTTGTCCTGTCTTACAAAGAGCAGGCAGACTTGTTTGAGTGTGGACCTGTGCTCTATTCCAGACTTGATTGTTGGGAGGCCAGATTCGGTGTCATTTTACTTCTTCATGACCTCCAAGACCAGTGTTGAGATCTGATGAGAAAAAGACCAGAAGGACCCTTGTCTGAATCTCAAAGGCTTTAAATTTTTTTTAAAATTTATTTTTCAGTTTAAATTTAGATAAGAGACAAGGTTGCTTCACAAGTCAGTTCCAGGTCCCTCTCCCTTTCCCTCCCCTCCTCCCGTACCCTCCCCCCAACCCCCCCCCCCCCATTATCCCCTCATTTCCCCAGGGAGGGTGAGGCCCTCCATGGAGGTATCCTTTAATTTTTTTTTTTTTTAATGAGCAAGATGTGTAAAACAGATTGAACCACTGGATAAAAATTGCTAAAAAATGACTGTTGCTCTACTCATTGATTATAGTACTTGTATTTTTATTAGATCTGAAAAAAAAAAAACACTAGTCTAACTTAAAAAAAAAAAAGGCTGCTATCTGGGAAGAAGAGTGTTACCAGCATGGAAGATCTAGAGAGGAGGGAGTAGGCACTCTGTTGTCAAGGCAGCTCCATCGTGGCATGTATTAACGTGTTTGTGTCTTGGTAGAAGAACCAGGGTAGCAAGGAATCAATTCACCGGTTATTCCATTGCTTCCTCCAGTCTGTGGGCCAGTCTTTATTCCCTCCTTCCCTGCCCCAAGTAATATTGGAAGCCTGTGTCTGTGTATAGCATTCCTCCAAATCCAACTTTCTTTTCTCTTGGTGTTTTTAAAAATTATTTAATGGTCTTTGTGTATTTATTTTATTGATTTTTTTTTTTTTGCTTGCATATATGTCTGTGTGAGGGTGTCAGATCCCCTGGAACTGGAGTTACAGACAGTTGTGAGCTGCCATGTGGTCCTCTGGAAGAGCAGCCAGTGCTCTTTTTTTTTTATTTAAAGATTTTATTTATTTATTATGAATACAACATCCTGCTTCTATGTATGTCTGCAAGCCAGGAGAGGGCACCAGACCTCATTACAGATGGTTGTGAGCCACCATGTGGTTGCTGGGAATTGAATTCAGGACCTCTGGAAGAGCAGTCAGTGCTCTTAACTGCTGAGCCATCTCTCCACCCAACTTTCTTTTCTCAATGGAACAAAGTTTTCAATAATTTATTTTCATCTAATGTGAACGTTTTCCTCTAACCATCTCTCTTCTCCCCTAGTCTCTGCCCTTTTTGGTTATCATTTACAGTGCTCTTTTCTGGAGTCAGTGTTTTTATATAACCTCAGACTGTCTTGAAGTCCTGACCTTCCTACCTCAGACTCCCACATGTCTGCATATATAGGCTGCTAATTACCACACCTGGCCGGTACAGTGCCCTCTTAAAATAAAGTGTGTGGGTTCAGTGCATAAAAGCCCTGTCTGCTGAGTCTGACAACCGAAATTCAGTCTCCAGTGGAAGGAGAGAACAGGCCGATGCTAGTTGTCCTCTGACCTTTGCATACACAGACACAGACACACGCACAGACTCGGGCACACACACACAGATGCGGGCACACACACACACACACACACACACACACATTTTTTTTTGAGCTGTACTTTTTTCCCCACTCCCCTCCCTCCTCTCTTCCTTTCCATCCTTCCCTCTGCCCCCCCCCCATGCTCCCAAACTAATTTTTAAAAGTTTTAAAGTGAAGTATGAGGTGAGACAAAAGAGCTAGAGTGTATAAGGGTAAAAGGATTGGTGTTGCTTTGTGTCAGAATGATTCAGTTATAGTGGAGCTTATATTGAACATTGATTTCTGCTAAGTGATTTGTTGGAATTGACTGACAGCATAGATGAACATTTTTTTAAAATATGGATGTACAATTTTTGTAGAAAACACCCCTGCATGATTTCCTATACTGTATATGCACCATTTACTATTAGTGTATTTACACAAACTGTTCTTTTGGTCTGTATATTTAATTAGTTGGTATTTTAGAATAACTATATCCCATTATATATAGTTACTAAACTTTTCTATGTTATGATTTTGAAACTGCTCTTTTGAGGCATAGTGCATTTTTCCTTGTGTTAGCTTGGGTCACACATGTTTTGGGAAATGATTCCTTAGAAGAGTCAGAGTTGAGGTTCTCATTTCAATGTTAGAGCTGTTTAGAGTTGTAGTAATTACAATGAAAGAGAAATAGATGTTTAAAAACAGTGGTGTGCTAGTTTATACAGAATTCATAATCACTTGGAATTGTTCATTTCCATTTTCTGTGTGTCCGTGTTCATGTGTATAGAGGACAAAGGCCGGTCGATGTTCACGGTTTTCTTCAGTTGCTTTCTACCTCGTTTGTTGAGAAAGGCTTTCACTAAACCAGGATGGGGCTACTTGGCTAGAACAGCTGCTCAGTGAGCCCCAGGGATCCTGCATTTCCCTTTCCAGTACTCTGACAGGCTTATGTGGTTGCTGGTGACCCAAACTGGAGTCCTCATGTTTGTACGTTCAGTACCTTACTGACTTATCTTCCCATTTTTGTGGGTGATTCAGTAGTTTAGCAGTTGAAATAAAGTTAAAGTCATTATTCTTTCCAGTCTTGATCTTGTTTGAGACATGGTCTTCTCACCAAACTGGAAAATGAGCATTTGTTATCTGCTAGCTTAAATGATGATGACACATGTATAGTTTTGACTTAAAAAGAAGGCTGGTTTACTATGATACTGGTGACTGAACCAGGGCTCAGTGTTCTAGGCCAGGGTTCTACCACTTGGCTCTGTCCACCAGCCTGAACGTCAGGTTACTGAGGTGACTTCTCATTAGGTTATAAAAGACATTCAGCATAGGAAATAAGAAATGCTGAGTTGAAATGCCCACTGTTGAAACTCTCATCCTCACAGCCTTCCTTCAGTGATTGTTGCCTCTTAGGTTGACAGTCAGATGCTAGAATTACAATGTTGAAGGTTTGGGAGATCCTCATAAATATTAATATTAACAGTTTAAAAGTACCATCTTAGTGAAAAGCAATTAGGCAAACAAAATACCTTAGAGATTTTCTGTTGTTGCTGGAGGAAGTGTATTTTGCTGTTATTTGTAGTAATTGTCTATAGCTACTATCACCCTGGGCATGTCCAAACTTGTCTATCTTTAATAGGCTTTATTTTTATGAAATTCCTTTAGTTTTGTTTCTTTATGACTTCAAACCTTTCTCTAGAGCATATCAGATGTCTGGAGTCTGAGCAAGCATCTCTGCAGTCAGCTAACTCAGAACTTGAAAACCAGAAACAGAAGCTTCAGCAGAAACTCACAGTGATGACGGAGCTGTACCATGACAACGAAATGAAGCTTCACAGGTGCGAAGTGTTGGGTAACTCCATTGAATGGGAAGCATGACTTTAAAGTATATGTTACATATTTGAGGCCTTACACATGTGATTATTGGATGTTATCAATTATATGGAATTATTCACTTTTTTTTGTTTGTTTTTTTGAGACAGGGTTTGTGTGTGTAGCTTTGGAGCCTGTCCTGGACCTCGCTCTGTAGACCAGGCTGGCCTTGAACTCACAGAGATCCACCTGCCTTTGCCTCCTGAGTGCTTGGATTAAAGGAGTGCATTACATCACCCGGCCACATAATTCACTTTTAAGAATGTTATTTGGTCTTGAACGTTTTTCTTCATGGAAGAAAATGTAAATATGTTGAAATTTCTAAGCTGTCTCACTAAATCTTCCTTAGTGTCTAGTAAGCATTTATCTAATGCTGACAAACTGGGTCAGGGAATCTGAGTGGTCTCTTTGGATGGAACTGCCTGGTATATGTAAAACTGAGTCCTTCCTTCTGTGCAAGTTAGCCTTGCTTAATACTCCTTGTTTTTGTTACTAAATGGCAGTGCCATTTGCTTTGTGTACAGGGCAGCTGCTCGTTAATCCTTAAATGCCCCTTTTGTGTCGCATATTTGTTTGTGTTATCATTAAATCCTGTCGACCTTCCTAACCTTTAATCTGATGGCATTTTTTTTTTTTTTCGAGACAGGGTTCCTCTGTGGCTTTGGAGGCTGTCCTACTCACTTGGTAGTCCAGGCTGGTCTCGAACTTACAGAGATCCACCTGCCTCTGCCTCCCGAGTGCTGGGATTAAAGGCGTGCGCCACCAACGCCCAGCAATCTGATGGCATTTTACCCTCTGCCGATTCTCTGGTTAAAGCCATCATTGGCAGTAGTTGACTTATCACAATAGTCCTATGAATGATTGTCTTCACACCTTAGCTTACTGCACTGTCTTTTCTCTGTAGCTTCAGAATTATTCCTAAAGCATGAATTGTGGGTACTGCCACTGTGTTTCTTGGATCCCCTAAGTGCATTTAAGCAGATTTAAAGTAAAACTTAATCTTGGCTTCTCAGAGCCAAGATTACTGTACCTGCTTTCTGGCTGGCTCTAGCCTATTCTATGTCTCTTTTCTTTGTTGCTCTCTGTTGACACTGGCTTTCTTAATTTTAGGTGTGCCAGGCACATCTGTGTCTTAAGGTCTTTTATGCCTTTTTTTTTTTTTTTTTTTTTTTGCTTGCAGTGGCTGGTGTTCTGTGTGCTTGCATGGTTTGACCCTTTGTTTTATTTGGATCTGGGTTCCACTGTCATCTTTTTTTCCCCCCCATGGTTATTTTTTTTGTATTTATTTTATTTATTTTTTTCTTTTTAAATTTAAATTTAGATTAGAAACAAAGTTGCTTCACAAGTCAGTTCCAGGTCCCTCTCCATTTCCCTCACCTCCTCCCGTGCCCTCCCTCAACCCCCCCCCATTATCCCCTCATTTCCCCAGGGAGGGTGAGGCCCTCCATAGGGGTGCCCATAGTCTGTCATTTCATACAGGGCAGGGTCTAGACCCTCCCCCAAGAGTTCAGGGTGAGAGTGCATCTCTTATTGTTGGATGGGAGTCCAAAGTCCATGTGTATACTTGGGATAAATACTGATCTACTGCCCAAGGCCCAATAGATTACCTAGGCCTCCTCAGGGCTGGTTTAACCCCCAGAAACAGATGACCTGACAAGGGTTAACTCTTGAATCCCAGGCTGATGCCTGGGAATCCAGCATGGGGCTGGTCCACTGTCATCTTAAAGAAGGCTTCCCTGGTACCCTGACTAAAACAATACCTGCTATTCTGTTCCCTTACCTTTCTTCACAGCCCCTTGTGTGCTCTAAACATCATGTCCTCCACCTCACATTAATTTAAACTCTGTAAGAAGCATCATATTTTTGTTTATATTCCCAGTACCTAAACTCAAAGGAAAATAGGTTTCCAGTCAATATTGTGCTTAGTGTACTTAAATATTGACGGCAGGGTGTGCCTGTGCACAGAGATGCCCAGATATAGGCGGAGAAAAGACCCTTGAGATACCTACTAATCCAGCAACTGCAGATTTCCAAGTATGAATTATAGCATAGACTTTTCATTATAAAACCTAGCAGACTTTTATTTCCCTTTAGGAAGTTAATGGAAGTCCCTTGCCAGTCCTTATCCTTCATACAGTATGTATGTATGCATGTATGTATGTATGTGTGATGTAAAGTATTGATAACTTTGTAACCTTAAAGCCTGTTGTTTCGGAGCGTTCATGGTCTTTCATGGTATACTGAGAATGATAAAGCTCCTGAGATACCCAGTGTGAGCACTCCGGTTGAGGACTAACACAGCAACTTCTTTCAATTCTCATTCTGTAAATAAGTGTCCTTCTCTGAGTGCCACATCTTTTGAGAATTTTTTTTATTTTGGTGATGTAGCTGTTCGCATACACCCCAAACATGTGCTTTAGTGCTGTCAAGTGTACTTGATGGTAAGAAGGCCATGATATATTTTGTGGAGAAAATACCATGTATCAAGTGAACTTTGGTTATAATTTAAAGTGCTGTTGGCTATGAGTTTAATGTTAGGAAATCTACAATTTAGATTAAGTAAGACATCTTGTATTTTGTTTGAGACTGTTTCATGTAGTCCATGCTGGCTTGACCCTGATTACGTAAAGTCAACTATGACTTTTAACTCTTGATCTTTCTGCTTTCACTTTCTAAGTGCTTGGAACAGATGTTTGCCACCATTGTAGTTTTCATTTAGTTTTAAAAAGTGATTTATCATGCTGGGCAGTGGTGATGAACGCCTTTAATCCCAGCACTTGGGAGGCAGAGGCAGGTGGATCTCTGTGAGTTTGAGCCAGCCTGGTCTACAAAACTACAGAGAAAACCTGTCTCAAAAACCAAAACAAACAAAGTGATTTATCATTTTAAGTTATGTGTATGTATGTGAGCCTGTGCACCCAGTGCTGGTGCGTGCAGAGTTCGGAAGTGTTGGATCTCCCTGGATTTGTAGATAGCATGCAGTTATGAGTCACTGGATATGAGTGCTGGGAACTGAACTTAGGTCTTCTGCAAGATCAGTATGTACTTTTCTTAATGGCCAAATTATTGCTCCAGCCCATAGAAGTTTATTTTTATTTTATGTGTATGTATGAATTCCTGTATGTCTATGCACAAAATATGTCTTTATGCCCCCTAAGGCCTGTAGAGGGCATTGCATCCCTTGAAACTGGGCAACAGATGCTTGCGAGCTGTCATGCGGGTACTGATTACTGCAAGAGCAGTAGTGTTGCTAGGCACTGAGCCATATCTCCAGTCCCATGGCAAGTTTTAAATAGAGCACCTACACATAAAACAAAGTTGTGTATTGTTTAGTTGATAAGTTTTATGAAAAGAGGTCATCAGAGCAGTAATCCTGTATTACCCCAGGAACCAGTGGTCCCAATATTTAATAGTTCATGGTCACTTAATAGAATAGAATGAGCTCAGGCAACAGGAACCCACTCTGTATTTGAAAACAAATAGAGAACATTAATCTCTGTTGAGAAATGAGTGCTGGATGGTTGGTCATTCTCATTTACTTCCAACCTTTGTACTACACTCACACTTAGTAAGTTAAAACTTGCCATTCATCACAGACCTTGGGCCTTTTAGGATGACTTAAGGCCATAAAAGAGGTTAAACTTAACCAAATATAAGAGATGGAGGATAACCTCAGGGTTTTAGTTAGTAAACTGTGGATTAGGGTATTCATTGTTTTGGGGTTAAAATGAACAATATTGGAAATAAGTTTTGCATATAAAATAGATTTGAAGTTAAAGAAAGACTTCTGAGTGTATGTTCTAGTTTTTAATGAGTGATGCTTAAAAATTCAAAGGTAATTCTGTAGATTTCCAAAGCAGTGATGAAAAGCTGCATTGTGTCTTGTTCATATGTGTTCACACTGTGATTTAATGTATTAGTTTACTTTCTGTTGCTATGACAAAACAGCATGACCAAAAGCATCTTGGGGAGGAAAGGGTTTATTTGGATTATATGTCCTGATCACAGCTGGTCATAATGAGAAGTCCAGGCACAACTGAATTAGAGGCCATGGAGGAGTGCTGTTTACTGCTTTGCTTTCCATGGCTTGATCAGCCTCCTCCTATAACCCAGGGGTGGCACCATTTGCAGTGGGTGGGGGGCCCTCCTGCATCAATCAGCCATCCAGAAAGTGCCCCATAGGCTTGCCTACAGCCAGCTTGTGGAGGTATTTTCTCAGCTGAGATCCTTTTTTTCCAAGTTCCTGTAGTTATGAGAAGTTGACAAAAACCTAATTAGCACGAGTATTTTGGATACCCAAATATTATATAGTCTGTTCTGAATTCACTCACTGCTCAAGCTGAATTAGGATATAGAAAGTTGGTAGAACTGTTAAAATGTTAGAATAAATTCTTGCCTGTATAGGGTATAATTTAGGTCCAGTTGTTTTCTAGATTGCCTTTTTAGATTCAGTTAATCTCTTGATGTTTTTCATGACTGATACATTATGTTGCTTGCAATTTTTTAAGTTTAATATGGGAAAGAAGTGAAATATTCGAACCTAGGAGTTTAGTGTGCTGCTTTAAATATGTGATTTCTCTTTGAAGTTCCATCAGTAGAGTTCACTTTCACAGTGTAGAAATTTGAACTTAAAGGCTGTATTAGGCACTTTTCTGTTGCTGTGATAAAATACCATGGCTGAAAAAAACTAAACAAAATAAAGCAAAAAACCCCTAAATACCAAAGTACTCTGATCAAGGCAGCTAGTAGAAGGGAGAGCTTGTTTTGGCACATGGCTGCAGAGCAAGAGCCTGTGGTAGTGAGGGGAGCATGGGAGCAGGTTCTTGGAGCAGGAAGCTGAGAGATCATGGCCTAAACTTGAAGAAGAGGGAGGAGCCCGGAAGAACGGTGAGGCTATATGCTCCCAAAGCCTGCTCCCAGTGACAACCATGTGACATGTGGTAACATGCTGGTAAACTATGAACCACAGATATGACAATGCCACCCGCTGATTCTTAGCCATCTTGGTTTGTGTTAAGTACACTCTGACATGCACAGAGTGATGAAATGTCTTGTTGGTTCATTTCTCAGAGCCTATTGTTACACAGTATATGACTGTATTTGGTTTCTCTGTGCTCTGTTTTCACTTTTATGCAGTGGAAATAGTAGCCCTATATAGCTGCTGACTAGTTTAATACCCACAGAGAAGTCTAGCAACAGTTTGGCACACACTAGTAGTTCAGCAAGTTACCTGTTACCTGCTAGTAGTACAAGAAAAAAGTAGTGCAGGGATAGTGCTGGTGCTTGTATTATCTATTCTCTTATTATTTTAAACTACCAATTAAAATATAGCATTCAAGAAGCAGACACAGGTGGGTCTTTGTGAACTAGAGGCCAGCCTGGTCTACAGAAGCAGACACAGGTGGGTCTTCGTGAACTAGAGGCCAGCTTGGTCTACAGAGTGAGTTTCAGGTCTACATTGTGAGACCCTGTCTGAAAACACAAAACAAAAGCCATAGTTTTAGTTGTTGGCTTCTTACTAGCAAACATAATGCCTCATTACATGAAACCCTGATAAATGATAGTCACAACAGTTTTTATTGATATTTTACTAGATACATTACAATAATGTAAAACACTTGAGACTGTTAATACCAATAGCACTGTAATTGAGAACAATGTGATCTTGGGTTTATAATGCTAAATTTCATATGAGAAATACACAGACTTTATTTTTTTGCATGTGTCCTTTGTCGTGGTGTATGGAAATTGCTTTGTGGGATACACCAGTTCTGATGTGATTTTAAAAATGTAGTTGATTATGTGAATACCATACATTAAAAGAAATGAAATACTCTTTGTTTTAAGGAAATTAACAGTAGAGGAAAACTGCCGATTAGAGAAAGAGGAGAAACTTTCCAAAGTGGACGAGAAGATCAGTCATGCGACCAAGGAGCTGGAGACCTACAGGTATGAAGTGCTCATTCTTGTTGGGATGCTCAGCAGCAGGAAGCAGTAACAGAATGGCTTTGTTTGTTTTTGAGACAAGGTCTCTGTATCCCTGGCCGACCTGGAACTCACTCTGTAAACCAGACTGGCCTTGAACTCAGAGATCCGCCTGCCTCTGCCTCTGCCTCCTGAGTGCTGGGACTAAAGGTGTGTGTGCTGCAACCACCACTTAGTGAATTGGCTTATTTTTATTTCATTACTTTGCATTTGAATTTCTTGGTATTTTGCATATATTCAGAAAATATTAAAAGGAAAAAGTTTTTTTGGGGGGGACTTTGATATATAAGTATAGGCATATTTTCTGTTAATATCAAGAAGTTTGTAAATAGTTAATTGCTGTGTGTTGGCACTGGGAGGTAGAACAGAATGATCACAAGATCAGGGCTAGCCTTGGCTAAATATCGAGTTTGAAGCTAGCTTGGACTACACAAGACCCCGTTTCAAAGAAGGAAATAGAGCAGTTAATTCAAGCTCATTCATTGGGCTTTGTTCAGATGGGAAAGAGCATACACAGTATTAACATTCAATAAGTGTGCCACTAATTGAACAAGCCATAATTGGCATTTTAGTAAATGCTTGGCTATGGTTTTTGGTCCAGTCCTCAGTGAACCTAAGGAAACACTAGGATGTCTGTTAGAAAGAGGCACACCACAGCAGCTTGAGTCATAGGAACAGTTCTCTTTACCTTAGGAAGAGTAAATTTGGGCTTTGTCTAAAAGGACAAATTACTTTCTTTGTTTCATAAAGGCAGTAAGTTATATTTTTCCTCTCCTGATCTGGGTGGTGGTGACAGAGACAGGCAGATCTTTATGAATTCAATGCCAGTCTGGTCTACAGAGCGAGTTCTAGGACTGCCAGGGCTACAGAGAAACCCTGTGTTGAAAAAACAAAACAAAAAAATAGTTCCTCTCCTGGAACTCTGTTAAGATGACAGGATCTGAGTTAATCTTTCAGGATTCCATGTCCTGAAAATGAAAACCTGAGGATCAGGCATGGTGGCTTGTGCCTGTGACTTCTGTACTTAGGATGGAGGGATAGGAAGATTATAACTGAGCCTGAGGCCAGGCTGAGTGAGACCTTCTGTACAGTCTAAATCTTTGTGACCTTGTGTTAGCCACACCCAAACAGTAGTGCTCACAAGATTTAATTGAGGTTAGAATTAGTTGAGGAGAAGATGATCTTTAAAATCTGTTAGCATCTCTCAAAAGATGAGTCTTGCAGTTATTAAATAAGGTAGAATATTCGTGTTTGTATTCTTGTAGCCACGTGCTCTCATTCCTTATTATATGTTACCACAGTGGAGTAACTACTTGTTCCTTATAGACAGCGTGCCAAGGATGTGGAAGAGGAGCTGGAGAGAACAATTCGCTCTTATCAGGGGCAGGTATGCATGTCATATGACTGCTGTGTCCACAGTAGAGCACATTGACTTGATACAACTGATGCAGGATTGTGGCTTCCACCCCTCCCGGGGTGTTTTGTAAAACTGAAATATACCCAGGGAGCCAAAGATGCTGAAATAAAAAACTTCTGAAACTTTCCTTTCTTTGTTAATGAGGATTATGCAGCCCAAACAATGTCTGTCACCATTGCAGTCCCATGTTCTGTTCGTTATCTGCTCCTCGGAAACTGTTGTAGCTGGTCATCACATGCGGTTTGTTGACAGTAAAACTCTTACATTCAGTTTTTGTTTACAAGTTCAGCAGAGTAAATCATCTGTAAACATGAAATTATGCTTTCAAAATCCTTACAGTGCCTCAGAGGTGCCTCAGCAGTGTGAGTGTATGGTTTGGGCCTTACATTTTAGTGGTGGGAATGAATGCTTTTATTTAAAAATAATCTTAATAACTATTTTTTAGGTTATTGCTCATGAAAAAAAGGCACATGATAATTGGGTAAGTTTTTAAGTTCCTTTATGTATACTACTCATTTTAGATTAGGTAAAAATATAGACAGTATTTGCCCGGCGGTGGTGGCGCACGCCTTTAATCCCAGCACTCGGGAGGCAGAGGCAGGCGGATCTCTGTGAGTTCGAGGCCGGGCTGGACCGATAGCCTCCAAAACAATACAGAAAAACCCTGTCTCGTAAAAACCAAAAAAAGATATATATATAGTATTTAAAAATTAATTGCTTTATTAATTTTATTAATTTTACCAGTCTTGAAATCATGTTACAAGTCAGACCATAGGAGGCACTGAGAAGTAGTCATCTTATTTTGTGCTTTATTTGTACTTTTCTCTCTGAATGTAATTCGTTATAAAATCACATAGACATGACAAGAAATTTTGGGGGTTGGAGAGATGGCTCAGTAGTTAAGCTCAGAACTTGCTGCTCTTCGAGAGGACCTGAGCTGTGTTTGACTCTGTGCAAGTCAGATGGCTCACAGTTGCCTGTGATTCTAGTTCCAGGTGAATTGACACCCTCTTCTGTCCTCTTAGGACACCTCCACTCACACTCATGTGAGCGCACACACACATACGAAATTCACACATGTGCATATATATGTGTCACACAGCAAACAACTAAGTTCAGTTGTATCAGAATCAGGAGGAACACTTAATTATACATATAGAGCTAAATAAAAATTTAAAAGTTAGTGAATTGTTACATTTTACAGCATTTCTTTTTTGTTCAAAATTGATTTTATGATTGCATATTGGAAAATCATTAACACAAAAGAAATCCTTTTGGGGTGGGGTTTGAGACAAGGTTTCTCTGTGTGTCGCTGACTGTCAAGGAATTAGCTCTGTAGACCAGACTGGTCTTAGAGATGCGCCTGCGTTTGTCTCCTTCGTACTGGGATTAAAGGTGTGCACCACCACTGCCTACCCAAAAAATGTTTTTTGATAGTACTAAAATATATCTAAGCTATGTTTTCTGTGAATGTTTAGTTTATTCATTGGCTAAAGTCAATTCTCCTAGCCCCACCTATCTTGCTTCCCTATTGGCCAACAGTCCTTTATTTACATATACACAGAAGGACTTCCCCTATCACTCATGTGTATTTCAAAGTCTTTGAAAGTAGAGTTCCTTTTACTTGTAAATAGTTAATGGCTATAGAGTGTTAGTCTTTGCTATCTATGTATGGTAAGCTTACATTTTGCATTGATCTATCTAATGTTTTCTATATTCTGCATCTAATCTGTAGCGTCCACAGAATGGCTGAGGAACATGTAGAGCACCATATGTTTGGCCTTTGTTAATGATTATTTGGGAATATTTCATTTTCTTGGTATTTATTATAACTAAGCCGGGCATGGTGCTGCACACTACCAACAAATACACACACAAAAACATGGGCTTGCCTGCATGCGCTTATGTGCATACAAATAATAACTCCTTAAATTGTATTTGTACATTGTCTTATACTTAATAGATGTGCAATATGTATTGATTGTATTTAGTTATTAAAAAATGACCTGTATTGGCATACTGTGAAACTGTTTTAGACCTTTGTAGTTTACCAGAATTAATGACATGATGATCATCCATTTCCATGGACTTTGCCCTAAGCTAGTTTGCTAGCATGCCTTTTATGATTGGATTTTTAAAAAATATTTTATTTATTTATTATGTATACAATCTTCTGCCTGCATGCCAGCAGAGGGCATCAGAGCTTGTTCAAGATGGTTGTGAGCCATCATGTGGTTGCCAGGAATTGAACTCAGGACCTTTGGAAGAATAGTCAGTGCTCTTAACCCCTGAGCCATCTCTCCAGCCCATGATTGGATATTTTTATCATCAAATAAGTTTAGGCCCTGATTTTGCATTGATTAGCAACATTCATTAACAAGTACCAATTAAATTCCAGCTTTATATTTATGCATTTGGCTGGCATGAAACTCATCCCCTTTGTGAATAATTCCCTAAATTTAAAATGTTTCATATTGACTACAATAATTGCAGATTCTTATCTGTTTTTGGTTGTGATATTATATGCCATCATGCTCTTGGTATTTAAGTTTGTATCGATATAGCTTCAAAATGTATTATTTTCTTCAAGCTGGCGGCTCGTACTTTGGAAAGAAACCTCAATGATTTAAGGAAAGAAAATGCTCTCAATAGACAAAAGTAAGTATTCATGGGAATACTTTACTTGAAATTGTTTCTTCATAATGTAATGCTTGTATAAGGATAAATTAAAAAATTGTAATAAATTCACATAATGTTATTAAATATCTAGTTAGTTTTACTAGCTGTGAAGTTTTAATTTGACTGAAATACTTTTCTTAGGCTAGTACAGTGGCACTTTAAGAAGCTTTTGCTAGTTACACTGTAAAAAGTCATTTAAAAAAATTAAACCAGTATGAGTGGAGAAAAAACAAGACTGGGCAAAAGAAAGGATGTCTCTCTGACACAGTGGTGCTTAGTGTATCCGTGTTCTTTATTTCTAAGTAGATGACGTGTTTATTGTCTCAGCCCTGGTTTGATTTTTGGGTGTCGCATTGTGCAGTATTAAAGTGAAAGTGTGCAATAAAAGGGAAGAGTAAATACTTCTATCTACAGGTGATAGTGGTCTAGTAGAGTATTAGACTTGCTTCTAACTGTAGGTGGTAGTGGTCTAGTAGAGGGTTAGACTTGCTTGCAAGACTGTACTTTTAGCATCGTTAAAAACTGGTTTCTGTCTTCTGTCTCATAGCTCAGAAATTAAAGTCAAACAGTTGTTTTACTTCAAATTTAAGATTCAGGAACTAAATAACATTTGTTTAAAAATGTAACATTTAAAGATACAAAGTTTAGAAATATAATAGCCACATCAATTGATGGGATTTCAAGTTTTATATGGGGAAGTGTAGGTAACTCAGAGCAGTTCTGCACTGTTGCCCTGGCCTTTTCATTTACTAGTCAGTTAAGGTCTCTGTCTTCAGTTTCCTTAGTTATAAAATGATACATTTCGACTAGTTTATCTAGGATGTTCTACTTCAGAAATGTATACTCTGTGAGATAGCACCCATGGAAGAGCCAAGCAGTTCTAAACATGAGCACCTCTAAGGAAAAGTCAGTCACCCCCAAGAAAATGGAGAACTGTAACAAGGCATCTGGGCAGACCAGTGGTAGGCCTTTTTCTTTCAGCAGATGTTGAGCTTGGAGCTGCTTTGGAAGTGGCCTTTGCTTAAAAATGTGGTGTTTCTTTAGGATGAGTAACGTAGAGATGTTTGTTTTTTGTTTGCAGGTTAACTGAAGCAGAATTTAAATTTGAACTTTTAGAAAAAGATCCTTATGCACCTGATGTTCCAAATACAGCATTTGGCAGAGGTAGTCTCTCTCCTTTTTTTAAAAGCCCCTTGTTTAAAGTACATATTGTGTATCTATATATTGTATATAATAGTTTACTTTAGTGTAAGTCAACATTTTCACCCAACAGTATTTTGGATTTTGTAGTGAAGATTTTATTTGAAGTTGTTTTGTTAGCTCTGGGTTTTGGTTTCTTAGCAGTAATGAAAATTACTGGTATCTCCCTTTCTCAGAGAAATGTCATGACAGGTCCTTTAAAGGCCCAGTGCTTTTAATAAGGTACCATTAGTTAATTTTTAGGAAAATGAATGAGAAGTACTTAAGTGGAATAGCATTGTGACTATTTACATATTAACAATACTTTGAGATTTGCTTGATTAAAGTGATAATTAACATAGCCATTCAAAAAATCTTAAAGTATTGATTTAAAAGTTAGGGCAAACTGTAGTGTTAGATGACTGTAATTATCCCAGGGAAGTTAGCCCTTCAAAGATACAGTTCTCTGCCGGTTTATTACTGAGTTAGCATTTTAATGATTTCCAAAGAGCTAATCATTTTCAGAGTGATTTTAGTTGAAGTGGAATTTAAGTCCTATAGTTACAAAGTGAAACTTTTATGCGTAGAATATACCTTTAACAACCTCTGGAAGTCAGCAAATCACTTTTGAGAGTCAATTTTCACTAAGATGCAATATATGTCTTATATTTTAAATATCAGATTATTGAAGACTTCAAGTAGTAACAAAGCTTGGAGTGGGGCAAGTATGTAGATCAGGGCTCTGAAGGGTTAGCGGTGCTTTGTTTTCTCTGCAGACAGTACATACTCAATAAGATTTACTGTGTTTTAAGTGGGAATTCCCTGGTGTTTAAGTTCTTTCTTGTTGCTGATTTTTTTTTTAACTTTGGAAGCATAATAACAATTCGGAATGATTAATTTATAAAATGCTAGGGCTCTTAGTCATCTGGATTACAGAGAAGTTTATTGGATGCATGATAATATCTGCGTCTTTAACTTGTAAAATTCAAAAGTAATTTCTGATTCTTCAGAGTATTTTATACATTTGTTTACTTTTTAAAATCTGACCTGTAGCTGGGCAGTCGTGGTGCATACCTTTACTCCCAGCACTTGGGAGGCAAAGACAGGCAGATCTTTGATTTCAAGGCTAGCCTGGTCTACAGAATGATTTTCAGGAAAGCCAGGGCTATATAGAAAGAAACTCTGTTCCAAAAAACTAAAAAACAAAACAAAACAAAGCCCCCAAAACTTTCTTACTAGGACATTTCATGGTTGACCATGACCTATCTGGCTCTGACTTAAATCAAGTACTTCCAAGTTGTAAACCTTCCCAGTTGAAATATTGGGAAGTATGCTGTCACAAAGTTTCCAAAATATCTGTGTGTGGTGGCAGACACCCTTAACCCTACTCGGAGTCAAGCACGGGGTAATCGTTGTGATTTTAAGGCCAGTAAGGTCTAGATATCCAATTCCAGACCAGCTAGTGCTCCATAATGAAACCATTTCAAAAAACAAAATGAAACAACACACACACAAAAAAATGAACAAACAAAAAAAACAAACTTACTTCATGTTCCCTAAATCTTTCAGTAACTTCTAAATACCCCCAACATCCTTTGTTTAGCTTGTGTGGTTACTTAGAGTAGTAGCTAATGGTTTTGTGGTTCTTTTGCTTGTTGGTTGTTTTTTATGTACAATGTATCTTGAGAGTTGTGTTTATTTAACCAGGTAAAATTTCTCTAGAGCTTGTGGCCTGCCCTCAACATTGCACAGATAAAAATAAGTAACATTCAACACGGACCTTACGACCTTCACATTTTAAAAATCAGAACTGTTAGCCGGGTGGTAGTGGCGCAAGCCTTTAATCCCAGCACTGGGGAGGCAGAGGCAGGTGAATCTCTGTGAGTTCGAGACCAGCCTGGTCTACAAAAGTTAGTTCCAGGACAGCCTCCAAAGCCACAGAGAAACCCTGTCTCACAAAACAAAACAAAACAAACAAACAAGTCAGAACTGTCTTAGGGCTGAAGAGGTGGCTCAGCTGTTAAAAGCACATATTGCTCTTGCAGAGGACCTGAGTTCAGTTCCTAGTAGCTCATGGTGCCTGTAAACTTCAGCTGTAGAGGATCCGATGCCTCTGGCCTCATAGGCTGCTGTTACTTGCATGTACATAACCCACACGTAGACACAAACATACATGCCAAATTAAAAATAAAATGTTAAAAACATCAGAATTCTTTACATAGGTGTAAAGCTGAGCGGATTCAAGTTCTGAATATTTATATATAAACCTTATACTTTTATTTGACTAAATGTCTAATTTGTTGAAAAGCTTTAAAAACACCACAGTCTCTTGAAATCTGTGTAGTGTTCAGGGCACAGATTAGATGTAAGCTGACAGTAGGTTAACTGGATGATAGTTGTTGAATGGGATTCTGACTTTATGGTACAGCTAACTAAATCTTCATTTACATCTGCTGTTTTAATCATTCCAGAGCACTCTCCATATGGTCCCTCCCCACTGGGCCGACCTTCATCTGAAACGAGAGCTTTTCTCTCTCCTCCAACTTTGTTGGAGGGTCCACTCAGACTCTCACCTTTGCTTCCAGGGGGAGGAGGAAGAGGTATATTGTTTAAACATTTTTATTACTCTGAATTTCTTCCTTACTTTATATTTTCATCTCAACTTACCTTTAAAATAATCTGTAAATAGACATTTGGAAAGTACAGGCATTCCTTGTACTTATCATAGATTTACTTAATTTTTTAACTGGGTGAAGAATCTTGGGCCAGATATGGTGGCACATGCCTTTAATCCCAGCAGTTGGGAGGCAGAGGCAGGCAGATTTCTGTGAGTTTGAGGTCAACCTGGTCTACAGAGTGAGTTTCAGGTCATTCAGAGCTGCATAGTAAGATTGTGCCTCAAAAACAAGCAGCAAAACCCTCCATAGCACCTTTTTCTGATATATTTTTCTCTTGCACACAGTTTTAAGGCAGGTGGCCATGCTAACTATGGAAATTCAGAAATCCAGAGTGCTCTCAATGGCAGACTCTTTGGGTGTAGTACTCAAAAAGTTGTGAATTTTGAAGCATTTCATATTGTAGATTTTTGAGTTTGTGATGTTCAACCTTTAAGGTCTATACACAACACACACACACACACACACACACACACACACACACACACACACTAAATCCAAGTGTAATGAGAGGTTCTTTGTGGCTGATCCTGCCCCTCTCTTTAGCCCCAAATGAACACACGGGTGCTATATTAGTTATGAAAGTGTTGGCCGGTGACTTAGACTTCTTATTGACTAGCTCTTGTCTTAATTATTAACCCATTTCTATTAATCTATTATTTCCACATTGTCTTGGCTTGTGGGAGAATGCCCAGACCTGTTACTCCTTTGGTGGCCTACATCGTGACCCTGTCTGCCTCTGCCTATGTTTCTCAGCATTCTCCTCATCTCCTAGCCCTGCCTATACTTCCTGCCTGGACATTCAGCCAATCAGTGTTCTATTGGTTCTCATCAACCAATAGAGAAATATATATACAGAAGGACTTCCCCATCGTCTAAAATTGCAAACACTTATGGCACCATGCATTTCCAGTAAGGAATACTCAACCTACACTGGATAACAAAGAGTCAATGTGTATCTTTCAAACTTGTATTATACTATATAAAACCTTTTAAAGAATATGTAAAATAGAGCAGTAAACACTTATGGCACCATGCATTTCCAGTAAGGAATACTCAACCTACACTGGATAACAAAGAGTCAATGTGTATCTTTCAAAATTGTATTATACTATATAAAACCTTTTAAAGAATATGTAAAATAGAGCAGTATAACCAACATAAAATGTGCTTGATGAAACAGGATCAGAATGTAGAATTTTAAATGTATACATTTAATTCAATAACTTTTTCTTTATAGTAAATCAGAATATGAAAGCCCCTATCCCCTGTTTTAATCCTGAAGGCAGTCAGAAGTGCTTTTGTAGGCAGAGTTTGGATGGGGCCTTTTCAGGAGTGCTAACTCTTACTGATGCTTTTAGAGACTAAGCCAGGATTGTCTGCATTGCTCCCATGCCACCTTGTGTTTTCTGTGTTTCCATAGCTACATTAAGTACAGGAATTACTAATGAATGTCTCTAACCATTTATGTGTGTGATCCAACAAAGTAAACACAAGGCAGGAGCAAGTGAGACTCTGAAAGCAGCAGGCTAAAGCAAACATGTCAACAGTTCACACAGAGTACACTCATTTCTAGAGTCTCAGACAAACCCAGGGCCATTGTCAATATTTCAGAATCCTTTGTGAGAAGATCAGTTCCTGGGTGCTGCAGGGGAAGGAGCCGCTCAGCCTGTTTCCTCTTTGTTATCTTCTTGGTCCTCAGTTTGCTCCATTTGGAACTGTTTTCCCACCTCCTGCCAGCCCTGGCTCACCGCAGGAAGAGCTTTGCTTGTGCTGGTTTTGAACTGGAAGCTTCCAGGGAAAATGACTATGCCACACATGGAGTCCTAGCGGGGTTGTACTGAACACTCCAGAAAGGAGTTATGTTTTAAAATTTACACGTCTGCTGTAAGCCTTGGGCTTAATGTTGTCAGTCAGTCCCCTTGCCACCACCTTTTACACTTGGACTTAGAGTAAGAAATGTGTGTCATGTCACATTATATACCAATATAAATGCAATCAAAGCCACCACATAAAGTATTTGCCATTGCGCTTTGTGATTTCTGATACTTTCTGAACAATTTTATCATATTTCATTAAGAGAAGAATGTTCATTAAGACAAAGTTAATTTTGCACAACACAAGGATAGCAGCTATTCATATATGAACACAGTACCCTAGAAATAGGGTTTAATTGACTAAACTAACTCATTGGAAGTTGAATTGCGTAAGTCAAGGATTGCTTGTAGTCAAGTGAATGTTCGAAATTATCATAAAAATGACCTTTCCTTTCTCCTCTCCTGTTGAAGTACTTTCCTCTTCTATTTAATTGCTTTTAAGTGACAGTGTGTTTAGCTTATTTACAAGGTTGTTTCCTGTCAAAAAACTACAGAAATTCTTGGTAAGTTACTAACAGGCCTAAAATCTCGATTTGGAGCAAGTTTCCTATGATCACTGAAAGGACAGAGTGCCTCTTTCTCCTTCCTCTTATTATCTTGAGATTTGAAAGCTTGAATAAGATTGTATATAAGGAAAGTAATTTATTTTTAGAGAGCGAATTGTAAATACTTGTTCTTAAAATCTTTTAAGCTTTTGTATTTTCACGTTTACAGTGTCCACCTAATAGTCACATGGCTTGTGGCTTGGGTCCTGGTAGCACGTGATGAGGAGAGTCTTTGAACCTCTCATAAGGCTGTGTGCTTTGCTTGAGATATGCTGAGCCTAGTGGACTCCTGAGTGTTCTCCCTTCCCAGCCTTCTTCTCATGAACTGATTAGGGGAAAGATGTGGGGATTTACTAGAATATATAATCATTGTTGGATAGACTTAGAGATTCTTATTATAAGTTCTGATGCAAGTTTTAGTCTCTTAATGTAATGCTTAGTATAATGCACTTCCAAGGAAGTTGTGTGAAACTACTTGGTTAGTAGCAGAATCACCGATACAGGATTGTGGCCTCTATAATGATCGATAGAAATCATGCCTAAGCAACAAAAACCTTATCTTTTACTAATTTTATACTGTTGTTTAGTAGAAGTCTTTATAACTTACTTTCTATACCTTATTTTTCAGACTTAGTATTTATTATCTAACCACTGATTACAATTACAAAATGATGATGGTGGTAATCCTTAAAGATGAATTTTATGGGCAAGTGTTGTTGGCTATTTGTTTACTTATTTTGTGCTGTGGGTTGACCCCAGAGCCTTCAGTTAGCCAAACAAATACCCTAATCTCTGAGCTGTCCTTCCAGCCTGTATCAAGTATTGGTTTATACACATTGCAAACTTATTTTCCCATCTCTTAGAAATGGTTTTGGTAGAATTGTAAGCTAAATATGTTCTAGGAAAGCTTTGTCTGACTCTGTAATTCACTTTGGAAAAAGCGTCTTGATTTTATTTGACAGTAGGTCTTTTCTGACACGTTTTGAGATGATATTGATTTGAGTTTTCTTTAATTAGGCTCACGAGGCCCTCAGAATCCTCTGGACCATCAGATGAACACTGAAAGAGGAGACTCAAGCTATAACAGGCTATCTGATGCTCCCAGAGCACCTTCTGACAGGTCCCTGTCACCTCCATGGGAACAAGACCGAAGGATGATGGCCCCTCCACCTGGTGTGTGAAAACAACAATCACTATCCGTATTTGCAAGACATCTTGTGTTTGGGACACAGCGGTGGAAGGAAAGAGAGCCATATGTGTTCTCTTTCTTAAAAACTGTGAGACGTTTTAGATACAAGAGTATTTAAAAGGAAGTTTTCCCAGTTGTTTCTATTGCTTACACAAGTAATATGTGCTTATTTTTGAAAATCTGAACAATGTAGAGATGTAGAGCTACAAAAGTAAATACTTGAATTTAGTTACATATCTTATGTTTTTGGTTGTGAGCCTAGCCTTTAACGGCTGAGCCATCTCCAGCCCAAATTTAGTTACATATCTTGAGGGATTAGTACACACACACACACACACACACACACACACACACACACACACACACACACACACACATTCTTTTGTTGTTGCTGCTTGAACTCTCAGCAATCTTCCTGCATCTTGAGCAGGTTCTCCCACCTTTGTTGAGATTACCCAGGTCATGCTCTCTGGGGTGACCAATGTTCCCGGCTGGCTGGAGTGAGAGAAATGTACAGGTGAAAAGACCTACCTTTTGCTTTCTAAGTTTTCCTGATGTTTGCCTGTAGAGAGTTGTGTGAGTTAGGGTTTCTATTGCTGTGAAGAGACACCATGACCACAGCATCTCCTATAAAGGAAAACATTTAATTGGGGCAGTCTTACAGTTTCAGAGGTTTAGTTCATTGTCATGGTGGTGTGCAGGTAGACAGGGTTTTGGAGGAGGTGAGAGTTCTACATCTTGATCTTCAGACTGTAGACAGAAACTGTTTGCCACACAGCGTAGCTTGAGCATATAGGAGACCTCAAAGCTCCCTTCCACAGTGACACACTTCCTTCAACAAGGCCACACCTATTCCAACAAGGCCGTACTTCCTAATAGTACCACTCCTAATGGGCCAAGCACTGAAACACAGGAGTCTATGAGGCCATTCCTATTCAAACCACCACAAGAGGGATGCAGCTGTGGATGCCCAGTACAGACATGGAGCTTCAGGTTTTCAGACTGCAGCAGGGAACTGCAAGTTGTGCACTCCAGAGGCTTTTACTTATGGTCTGAGCTGAACTGCTTGGTGTATATATGTCCTGCTTGTCACAGCTCTTTCCTAGGTTATTCTCACACTGGTTGTGGCTGGCTTAATTCAGACTACTTACTTTTTAAATTTTTTGCTTCTCTCATATCTTATATCCCAATCACACTTTCCCCTCCATCCTCTCCAGCCCCCACCCCCTTCTTCCCCAAACTCACTCCTTCTTTCTGAAGGCTTCCCAGGGATATCAACAGAACATGGCATATTAAGTTACACTAAGACTCACTTCATATCAAGTCTGGGCAAGGCAACCCAAAGGGTCCCCAAAGCAGGCAAAATACTCAAGACATCCCCATTCCCACAGTTAGGAGTCCCACAAGAACACCAAGCTGCTAAACCGTAATATATCCAGAGGACCTAGGTTAGACCCATACATGCTCCTTGATTGTCGGTTCAGGCTCTGTGAGTCCCTATGAGTGCTGCTTACTTGGTTCTGTGGGCTTTCTTGTGATATCCTTGACCCCTCTGGCTCCTTCATTCTTTCTTTCCCTTTTCTGCAGGATTTCCTGAACTCCACCTGATGTTTGACTATGGTTGTGCCTCTGTTTCTATCAGTTGTTGGATGAAGCCTCTCTGATGATTATGCTAGGCTCCAGTCTACTAGTATAGCAGAGTATCATTAGGAATCATTTCACTGACTTTTTTTCCCTGCTGGTTGTGTTTGGTTCTATTCCAGGTTGTATCATAGGTCTCTGGGCTATCTAGTCTCTGGTTCCTAGCTCTTCAGACAGTGTCAGGGGTGGGTCCTTCTTGTGACTTGGGTCTCAAGCTGAACCAGTCATTGGTTGGTATCTCTCTCTCTTTTGAGATTTATTTTTATGTGCATTGGTGTTTTGCCTGCATGTATGTTTGCCTGAGCTAACTCCTTAAACTGGAGTTAGATGGTTGTGAGCTGCCATGTGGATACTTGAAGTGAACCCAGTTCCTCTGGAAGAGCAGCCAGTGCTCTTAACTGCTGAGCCATCTCTCCTGCCCCATTTGGTGGGTGTCTTAGTTCAGGTTCCAATTGCTGTGAAGAGACACCATGCCCAAAGCAACTTTTATAGGGAAAACATTTAATTGGGTGGCCTACTGTTTCAGAGGTTTACTCCATCTCCATCACAGTGGGAAGCATGGGGACATGCCAGCAAGCATGGTACTGGAGAAGGAGCTGAGAGGTTTACATCTTGATCCACAAGAAACAGGAAGTGAACTGTGACACTGAGCATAATTGAGCATAGGAGACTTCAAAGCTCACCCCCACAGTGACACACTTCCTTCAACAAAACCATACCTCCTAATAGTGCCACTCCCTTTGGGAGCCATTTTCTTTCAAACCACCACAGTTGGCCACTCCCACAAGTTGTGAGCCACTTTACCCCACCATATTTTGCAGGCAGGACTGCTTGGAACTTGAAGGTTTTGTTGCTGAGGTAGTGTCTCAGTCCTCTACTGGAAGCCTCACCTGGTTATAGAATATAACAGGTACAGATTCTGGATCCCTTATTACTACTCTTAGCTGGGGTTACCCTTGTAGATTCCTGGGAGTTTCTATTGCTCAAGGTTTCTAGCTCATCCCTGAAATCACCCCCCCACACCATTTCACCCAGTACTCTTTCCCCTACCCTGCGCCCAAATCTGATCATCCCTCCTGTTTCCATTGCCATTTGCCCCCAGTCCACTCACTAAATCTATTCTATTTCCCTTTCCTAGGGAGATTCATGCGTATACTCCCCCCCCACTCTCCTTGTTACTTAGCCTCTCTGGATTTGTGATTGTAGCATGATTATCCTTTTCTAAATAGCTGTTATCCACTTATAAGTGGGAACATACCATGTTTGTTTTTCTGGGTCTGTGTTACCCAGAAAATTTTTTCTAATTCCACCTATTTACCTGCAATTTCATGATTTTTGTTTTCCTGTCTTGAACAGCTGAGTGACACTCCGTTGTATAAATGCACCACAATTTTTTTTTAATCTATTCTTTGCATGATGGACATCTAGATTGTTTCCAGTCTCTGGGTCTTATGAATAAAGCTGCTAGAACATAGTTGAGCAACTGTCCTGTGGTAGGATGGTGTCTTACTTAGGGGTTTTATTGCTGTAAAGAGACACCATGACCATAAAGGAAACATTTAATTGGAGTGACTCACTTACAGTTTCAGAGGTTCAGTCCATTTTAACATGGCAGGGAAATGAGGCATACAGACAGATGTGGTTCTGGAAGAACAGTGAGAGTCCTACATCTTGCAGACAACAGGAAGTCTACTGAATTCTGGGTGGTATCCTGAGCATAGCAAATCCCAAAACCTTCCCCCACGGTGCCACAGTGCCTCCAACAAGGCCATACCCACTCCAACTCCATCAAAGCCACACCTACTAACAGTGCCACTCCCTGTGAAATTATGGGGGCCAATTACATTCAAACTACCACATTGCACTTGCTGGCCTCCAGAAGAATGTAATAACATCACAATGCAAAACGAATCTATTCTGACTCTGAAACTTCCCATAGTGTATCACAGTGCTTCAACAATGTTTTAAAGTCCAAAAGTGCTTCTGAGATTCATGCAATCTCTTAAGTGTAATCACCTGTAAAAATGAAAATTAAAAAGCAGATCACATGCTTCCAACACATTATATAGAATACACATTACCATTCCAAAACATAAGGAAAGGAGCGTAGTGAGGAAATACTGGACAAAAGCAACACATAAATCCTGCTGGGCAAACCCCAAACTGTACATCTCCATGTGTGATGTCAAAACGCTCTTCAGATCTCCAACTTTCTCCAGCTTTGTTGACTGCAATACACTGCTCTCTCTTGGGTAGGTTGCACTTCCTGTGAGCAGCTCTCCTTGGCAGATGTCCCATGACTATGGCATCTCTTAACATCTTATTTCTGTGTATTCCACACATGCTTGATAACCTGAGAAGGCCAGAACAGGGCATCAGAACCCCTGGAAATAGAGTCACAGGTGGTTGTGAGCTGCTGTGTGGTTGCTGGGAATTAAGTACAGGTCCTGTGTAAGAGCAGCCAGTGCTCTTAAAGCACAGAACCATCTCTCCAAGTTGTTTCATATTTCAGGTATGTGTTCTAATATATGAGTTAAGGGTTAGTTTTGGTACAATAGTTAAGAGCTGAGTGTATCTCACTATAATACAAACTTTACTCTGTTCCATAGCTAACTTCTTGTTGTTTATAATCCATTTACATGTATCCTGTTTAGCAGTCAAGGGTATTAGGCAGGCAAATGTCAATGGATATGTAAAAACTACCCGTAGAATAATTTGGTTCTTGTTCTCAATTAGATATCTGATTTAATCATTTCATATGTAGTAGATTGAATCTGCCAGGAGCTCTTCAACTATCACTCACTACCCACTGAAGCTGAGAAATATGTGCATCTAGTGTAGGTTTTAATGTAAATAACATCAAGAATGAATAGAATTCCAAAATGTAAGTCTTCATTGTATAATTGAGTTATCTATAAGGGTATTTTCATACAAGTGTATATTATGTACACAGAAAACACAGTAAGTGAATGGTACTTCTTCGGGTGCTCACTGAGGCTTCTGCAGCAAGACTGCCTAGGAGCCAGCTGGAATGGTCACCAGCACACTGAAAAAGAATATCTGTTCTATTGAAATTTCACCAGCCTCAGGCTGCTTTTGGGACTCTCATGTGGAATACTAGTGTATTTGTGTCAAGTTGTTCCCTGTCCCAGCAAGGGGAGTGGAACATGCCAGTGCCATTTGGATCTGGAAACAGTCTGGGAATAAATTGAGAACTCATGAATTTTTCCTGGTTTAATTTTTATGTCTAGATGGGCCAGTATCCTCGAAATTGGAATCCACTAACAATGATACCAAAAGTGACCTTGGGGTAAGTATTGGAAAGTGAATTCTACCCAATGTATCCATAACTAGTTTCTTGGTTTTATTAGAATAAGGCTAGAGCTCTTCTACTATGTGATATCAATATATTAATAAAATATATGTCTACTTGGCATTAACACTTTCATTGTTGACTTTTAACCTTGTGTGAAATAGTCCAGATCAAGCAGGGTTTGTTGGTGCATGTAATCCTAGCATTTTGGCAGGCTGAGGCAGGAGGATTATAAATTCAAAGCCAGTGTGAGCTATATAAGCAGATCTTGTTTCAAAATACCAAATAGGCTAGAGAAATGGCTTACAGGATAAGACCACTGGCTGCTCTCCTGAAGGACCTGGGTTTGATTCCCAGCATCCGAGTGGTGGCTCACAACCCTTCTTAACTCCAGGTTTAAGGAATCTGAAGCTCTATTCTAGTCTTCAAGAACACTGAATATTTATGATATCTAGACATACATGCAGGCAAAACATCCGTACATGTGAAATGACAAAGAAACAAGAGAGAAAAACCTGATTTCTCCCATTTAAATAAGAACAAATTTTAGATGATCTTTATAGCTTCAGTGCTACCTGTACACTATTTCAGATTTTCTTCCTTGAAATCTTGTTTAATCTTAAAATGTATTTTAGTTTTAAAATATAGCATTGATTTTAATCATTTTGAAAATAATCAGTTTCTTAACCATTTTTCTTTTCTGTGGTTTGATAAGAGTGTCTATATGTATATATTTTTGTCTTTGAGATAGTTTCCCAGTAGCTATGGAGCCAGTCCTGGAACTTACTCTATTCCCAGGCAGGGCTCGAACTGACACAGATCCACCTACCTCTACCTCCCAGGTTCTATGATTAAAGTCGTGTACCACCACCTGGTGTATTTCTATTTTTTCAAGTGTCTATTTTGATGTGCTTGAACCGTATCTGTATTTTAGGGTGTGCTAGGTAGACTATTACTTCCATGCTCAAAGTTTTCTGCTGAGTTAGTAAAAATACTTAGGATAGCACTTAAGCAGCTCCTACACAGGTGTGGAAAGCCTACTGAGGCTTTGTGGAATGTCATGGTCTATTTTCTTCTATGCCTGACACCCCCAGCAAAAGAGCTGTCCATCAAGCCTCTTTAGTGACTGCTGATTGTCAATCTGTTACAGAACTCCACTGTGCCCAACACTCCTGCTACTGAATGTGAGACAGCTGGCCCTGGCTTCATCCCCCCTCCAGTCCCCCTGGTTAGAGGCCCCAGAGGCCCTCCATTTGCAGGGGATCCAAGAAGCCAGATGATGAGAAGGGCCTCCCCATTCCCGCCACCTCCTCCAGGAAACATCTATGGAGGTCCTCCAGATTATTTTCCACCAAGGGACTTTGCTGGACCACCCTTCCCGCCATACCCAGGTACGCTATTTTAAAAGTCCATCTGTGTGTCAACTTTTATCTGTTCTTTTCTTGTTACTGTGATAAACTCTGGCAAGAACCAACTGGAGTAGGAAAGGGTTTATATGGCTCACAGGTTACAGTGCAGCATCAGAGGAAGCCAAGGCTTCACCTTGATCCACCTCAGGTAATTTTGAATTTTAACTGTACTCTGATAGGTCAGAAAATCAGGAAATTTGCACTCTGATAGGTCAGAAAATCAGGAAATTTGCAAGCAGGTTTTTTTTTTGTTTTGTTTTGTTTTGTTTTTCTCCCCAAGGCAGGGTTTGTCTATAGCTTTGGAGCCTGTCCTGGAAGTCTTAGTCTGTAGACCAGGCTAGCCTTGAACTCACAGAGATCTACCTGTCTCTGCTTCCCAAGTGCTGGGATTGAAGGTGTATGCCACCAGTGCCCAGCTACAAGCAGTTTTAAGATTAAAATTATGTGTATTTATTTGATAGAAAGTAGCAATTATTTAATATAATTGCTCATATTTTTGTCTTAAGATTACTGACTAAAGTGTTTTAAGGTATTTTTCATAAATAGTAGTACCCTTACATTTTAAAATAAAAGTAATTTATTGCCTTTATAGCATAATTTGCCCTTTGGAATCCCAAGTTTCTACACAGTAAATCATGTTTTCATTATTAGACAAGAACCACCTTAGCTGTCCTAGGTTATCTGCTCTTTGCCCTCATCTCTACTCTTAAACTTCTAGGGGAGTAAAATCAGTTTTGTTTGGAAAGTTTTAAGGTGGTATTTGGCTTTACAGGGAATGTTTTTAGTAGAATATCATGTCAGGATCACTGATCTGAATGTTAACTTTGAAAGTTTTACTGCATTGAAAAGCTGTTTTGCAGGAAGTCTTGAGTGTATTGAGATCTTGCATACCTGCCAAGACAGGATAAACACACCTAAAGCTGATGGTTGTGTTCATATTAATCCTATGTAGTTAAGAAGTCCATTTTTCAATGTCAAGATTTATTTGTGAGATCGAGTATTGTGGCATGAGAGTTTGGATATCAGAATAGCTGGAGCTAGTGTTTTAACAAGTGTGCACTACAGGGTTTCAACTTCCACTGTCCTTTACCCATCTCTTCCAACAGGGAGAAATGTGTACCAACCGAGGGGCTTTCCACCACCTTACCTTCCCCCAAGAGCTGGGTTCTTCCCCCCACCCCCACATCCTGAAACTAGAAATGAGAGGCCCCCAGATTTGATTCCACCTTCTAAACAACCTGCACCCGAACCTCCAGAAACACAGGAGACCTGACAGTTTCCTTGGTGGTCATTTCTTCTCATTTTGCGGTTTAAGTAACTGCTGTTACTTATGTGATTATATTTTTGCTCAAATTGAAGCTTAATGGAATTATAATTCTCAGGATAGTATTTTGTAAATAAAGATTTAAATATGAATCTTATGAGTAAATTATTTCCATTTTATTTCATTCTGAATAGTATGTTTTACTTTGAGTACCTCATCCATAATTATGGTAGTTTTATACATGTAATCTTATAGTTGGGGATATGTTAATTCCAATAGGTTGTGTGTTTACACCAGGAATGTGTTCACAATGGTTGTAGACAAATGTAAAGGTACCTGTATGTTTAATCAATAAATTTTATTTGATTTAAAGTCTTGCTTGGCCTTGATAATAATAAAACCAGCCAGTTTGACATAAACATGGTTCCATAAATTACTCATTTTACCTGTACCAATAATGCAGTGGTTCAAAAGGGAAGTGTCTGGAACTGGAGAGACGTTGGCTCAGTGGTTAAGACTGCCTGCTTTTCCAGGACTGAGGACTTTGGTTCCCAGCATCCATATGGCAATTCAACTTTAAAAACTTACATATGGATTACACTTTATAGATAGCTGGGATATTGTCTAATGATAAATTTCAGATTCTTTTAAAAACATAATTCACTGATTAGTTTTTTTAAAATATTTTATTTATTTATTGTGTATACAGCCTTCTGTCTGCAGGCCAGTAGAGGGTACCAGATCTCATTCAAGGTGGTTGTGAGCTGAAAGACCTGAAGTAATCAGGCTGAATACCTCGTGACGTCCCGAGCTCAATAACCAGACAGTTGGATGCAAACTGAAAGAGGTTTATTGTTCACACAGGCGTCTGCGGACACTCCAGCAGCCTTAGCTAGCTGAGCGTGCCAGGCTTTACGACAGTTTTCTTTTTATGTACATAATTTTGACAAGCAAAGCAATAGGGGTATTGTAAGAAGTGGAGCCGCTGCAGGTGCAGATCTGGGCAAGCAATAGGGGTATTGTAAAAAGCGTGGGCATAACTTAGCCTTCCAGGAGAAACCACAAGGTCAAAATTAAGCTTATCTTAACAGCCTGCCGATTTCCTGCGTCAGCACTCTGGACCAGATGTTCTTTTCAATCTGACCTTGTTCCCTGCCTTGGGGACCTTGGGGAATTTTCCACTGAGGCAACCTTCTGAGTCTCAAGGGGGGTGTATTGAGGTCTTTCATTCCCACATTTCTTTTTTGTGAAGTTTCAATCCTAAAATTTATGGTCCCTCTTGTTGTTTAAGAGCTTGGTACTGCTGTGTGAGAACCAGGGCCTGGGTGATAGATAGGCGTTCCTTAATGAACATCATAAGGCAATTTAAAATACAGGGGCCAAAAGTAAGTAACAGTAACAAAATAACCAGAGGACCTAGTATGGTAGAAATCAGGGTGGTCAGCCAGGGGGACCCATTGAACCAGCTCTCAAACCAACCCTGTTGAGATTCCCGGTCTCTCCGGCGTTGGTTGAGTCTTTCCCTAAGTTTTGCCATGGAATCTTGTATGACCCCAGAATGGTTAACATAGAAACAACATTCTTCTTTGAGGGCGGCACAGAGCCCACCTTCCTTAAGAAAAAGGAGGTCGAGACCTCTTCGGTTTTGTAAGGCAACCTCAGCCAGGGAAGCAACAGACAATTCTAATTTAGTAATAGAGCCCTCAACCTCTTGGATATCTTCCTCGATGGCTAGTTTTAATTCTGAGTATCCTTGGGACCCTTGAACCAGTGCAGCCACTCCTGTGCCTAGGCATTCCGGCTGCCATTCCTGCCCCCCATAGGAGGGCTAGGGTAAGTGATATAGGCTCTCTCTTGTACCTTAATGGGATTCCCTCATAAACTTGTTCCAGAACTTCAGGAGGGGAAGCAAGCGGACTAGGACACAAAAATCTTTGGAGGCATTTAGGACTTGGGTGTGCACACAGGGTGTGGGTCCAGTATTTTACATGCCCACCAGAGTCCCGATTCTGGGACCAGGTAATTTTGACTTCCTGGCTGTTGGACGGTTCGGTTACAGAGACCTGACTTGGAGGATGGAGGGGTTCGTAGGCATAGACCCTGGTCGGAAACTTGGATGAGTGTTAACCTATGGTCCACCTCCCAGCCGCAGTTAGGGCTGGTGGTGGTGTTAATAAAGTTTCCCATCGTGGCAATCCCTTCATAATAGGGAGGTATAGATGCTAGGCATAGCCAACAAGAGGTAGTAAGGTTTGGCTGGGTATTGTTGAGGGCCGAAAAAGCCCCTTGAACCAAGCTGAAGAGTCTCTGTTCCGTCAAAGGAGGCATGGGATGAGACTGGGGGAAGTTGGGGTTTTGGGGCTTTAGGCGGCCCTTGTTCTGACAACACATCATTAGGTCCTATGGGAGCCGTTAGGGGACTGGTTATCTTGAGTCTAATTTGGAATGAAAGTCCCTTATCTCTCCCTGGCATGTAGAATCTTAGTCCCCAGGTTCGTCCCTCGACCCATCGTTGAACTGTTTTCCCAGATTTGTGAAAGTTATATTAAGGGTGTTTGAAGTCTGGTTTTCCCTCCCAACAGTAATTAAGTCCCAGCTTGACGAGGGGTGCCATGGAACCTCTCATGTGGTCACACAACCCCATTGTTTGCAAAAGAAGTCCCCGAGCCCCCACATCTATGCACCTCTGACCTTGATCTGCTGTCCCTAGGGCAGACATAGAATGGAGTTACTTGTAGGGCTTTTCGGGTACCTGGGTACTTGCAGCTGGGGTAGGCTCTGACACCTGGCCTGGTAGAGGGCCAGGGGCAGGAGTTGAACCCAGTCTCTAGTGCTAGTCTCCAATGCTAATTTAGTCAAGGTCTCCTTAATTGTTCTATTTATTCTTTCTACCTGACCTGAACTTTGTGGTCTATAAGCACAATGTAATTTCTAATCAAACCCCAGTAACTTGGCCACCAACTGACTTACCTGGGAGACAAAAGCCGGCCCATTATCAGACCTGATTACCTTGGGTAGGCTGAATCGAGGGAAGATTTCTTCTAGAATCTTCTTAACTACCACCTGTTTCTCTCTTGGTAGGGAAGGCCTCAACCCATCCTGAGAAGGTATCTATGAAAACTAGCAGGTATTTGTTACCGTACAGGCCAGGTTTAACTTCTGTAAAGTCCACTTCCCAATAGACACCGGAGCGGTGTCCTCTGGTCCTGGATCCTTCTGGAAGTTTTAGTCTTCCTGCATTGACTTTTGCACAAGGAACACATTGATCAATAACCTGCTGAATGAGATTCTGCACATGTGGTATGTAAAAGAAGAACTTTTCCCTTTCTAGTAGAGTGGATAGCTTTTTCCTACTAAGGTGGCTTAATTTGTGGAGGTCCGCTATTAATGTTCTGGTGTCCTTCTGGGGTAGGTCCAATTTCCCCTGAAATCTCCATCCTTGGACCTCCGGGTCATATCTGGCTCCTATTCTGTGTGCTTCTGCCAGGTCTTCTGCTGTATAGGTGTATTTCGGTTGGGGAGGGGCTGTTTGAGTCTTTTTAGTTTGCAGGGATAGAATCTGTGACCCAAATGCTGCCCTCCTTGCTGTTTCATCCCCCAGGTGGTTGCTAAAGCAATGGGGCTATTCCCCTTCTGGTGTCCTGGGCAGTGGATGATCACATTCCCCTGGTCTCTACTCTGGCCTTGGGGTATTCTTTGAGCCAGGCTTGGATGCTTTCCAGGGGGGTTTTGTGAGGCTGTTCTAACAACTTATATTCATCTTCCAACTTTAGGGTGAGGACATGGAGGGGACTCCCATTTGGGCTGGTGACTGGTCCCCTGTTTGTTGAAATCAATTTGGGCTCCCATTTTAGTCAGCAGGTCTTTCCCCAGGAGAGGGTAAGGGCAATTTGGGACATGTAAGAAGGAATGGGTCACTTTACCTGTGGCCAGATGCACTTCTCGCTCGGTAGTCCATGGGTAGCTTTTCCCTCCCGTAGCGCCTTGCACCCATGAAGTCTTATTACTCAGAGGACCAAGCGCTTTGGTTAACACTGAGTGTTGAGCTCCTGTGTCGATCCGGAAGGTTACGGGTTGCCCCCGATCTTGAGGGTTAGCCTGGGCTCAGGGGGGCTCCTGGCCCTGGCTCCTCTAATCCTCAAGGGAGAGGACCTGGGGGATGCCTCCTGCATTTCTCCTTGCTTCCTCGGGCAGTCCTTGGCCCAGTGCCCCTTGTCTTTGCAGTAGGTGCATTGGTCATGGCCAGGCCATGGGTACCGGATATCCCCCTGGTTCCTCATCTGCCTCCCTGGCTCTGATCTAGGCTGAACTACGGTGGCCAAGATTTTGCTTAACTCCCTAGTGCGTTTTTTTATCACGATCTCCTCTTGTTCCTTTATTAACCTCTCCTCTTTCTCTTCCTGCAACTTTCTTAGTCTTTCTTCCTTCTCTTCTGGGGTTTCTCTCTTATTATAAATCCTCTCTGCCTCCTTCATAAGATCCTGAAGGGTATAGTCTTGCAAGCCATCCAACCGCTGCAACCTAGTCCGAATGTCTGAGGCTAACTGTCCTATAAAGGCCATGATAATCTCTCCCCGGCATTCTGGACTGGTCGGGTGGAAGGGCGTATATCTACGATATGCCTCCATTAACCTTTCTAAAAACGCATCCCCTGAGTGACTGCTCTTACCTTGGCCTAATTAGTGGGGTGCCTCCCAGGGCCCCGGAGACCCACAAGGAGAATCTGGCGATAGAGATGAAGTTGTTCCCTACCAGCTGGGGTGGTGTAGTCCCAGTTAGGGCGCTCCAAAGGGAAGGCTGCTTCGATCTCATTGGGGAGTTGGGTGGGGGCCCCATTGGGACCTGGTACATTTTTCTGCGCCTCCAGAAAGACCTTTTGTTTCTCCTCTGTAGTTAAGAGCGTCTGGAGAAGCTGTTGACAATCATCCCAAGTGAGCTGATGAGTCATTAGAATGGACTCAGTGAGCCTGGTCAGTGCCTGGGGATCTTGGGAAAAGGAGGGGTTATCGGTTTTCCAGTTGTAGAGGTCGGATGCAGAGAATGGCCAGTACTGATGTTGGCCCCCTACTGATCTTAAGGGAAAAAGCTGAGCTGACCATGGTCCATCCTCTCCCTCCTGACGAGGTTGTTCTCTGTGGAGACGTAAGCGAGCCTGAATAGGAGTGGACCGCGGGTCAGACTCATCCTGGGTCTAGGAATCAGGGGAGGGTAACATTCAGGTTAAAAGTGCCGGCCCCGGGGCCAACCAACATTGAAAGATGGCCACGCAGAACTGCAGAAAGTCTGCCATTTCTTCTTTTTAACATCCATGGATTGGTTGTGTGCTCGAGCTAAGACATCATTCCAATGGTCTAGAGTCAAACTTAAATGGGTGGTTAAAGATTGTCCCATCCCCCCCAAAATTTCCAAAAACAACAAAGGACAAACAATAACAATAGAGACTACAAACAAACAGCAGGCCAGACACCGTGCAGCACAGAACCGATGGAAAATTGGATTTACAGACAGAGGGACAGGCAATCTTAGCTGGTCCTCCAGTAGGGTGGCCTGTTCACCCTCAGATACAAAGTGGGCCCCGAAAAGCCGGGGCCCCAGGCACCCTGAGACGTCTCCCAGGGTGGCGGCACCAAGTGAGTACGGAATTTGTCAATTCCCTCACTGGACACCCAGATTCAGAAGTGTACACACCAGACCACAACAGTGAGACAGAAGAACAGACAGACAGACAAGGGGTACCCAATTGTCTCACCTCCTGACGTCTAGGTTATTGAGAGGGGTCGCCAAATCTCAGTGGGACCTCCAAATGAAAAACCTGAAGTAATCAGGCTGAATACCTCATGACGTCCCGAGCTCAATAACCAGACAGTTGGATGCAAACTGAAAGAGGTTTATTGTTCACACAGGCGTCTGCGGACACTCCAGCAGCCTTAGCTAGCTGAGCGTGCCAGGCTTTACGACAGTTTTCTTTTTATGTACATAATTTTGACAAGCAAAGCAATAGGGGTATTGTAAGAAGTGGAGCCGCTGCAGGTGCAGATCTGGGCAAGCAATAGGGGTATTGTAAAAAGCGTGGGCATAACTTAGCCTTCCAGGAGAAACCACAAGGTCAAAATTAAGCTTATCTTAACAGCCTGCCGATTTCCTGCGTCAGCACTCTGGACCAGATGTTCTTTTCAATCTGACCTTGTTCCCTGCCTTGGGGACCTTGGGGAATTTTCCACTGAGGCAACCTTCTGAGTCTCAAGGGGGTATATTGAGGTCTTTCAGAGCCACCAGGTGGTTATGTGGTTGCTGGAAATTGAACTCAGGACCTCTGGAAGAACAGTCAGTGCTCTTAACCGCTGAGCTATCTCTCCAGCCCCACTGACCAGATTTTTAATGGTTCAAAACAATCTCTCTCTCTCTCTCTTTCTCTCTCTCTCTCTCTCTCTCTCTCTCTCTCTCTCTCTCTCTCTCTCTCTCTCTCTCTCTCTCTCTCTCTCTCTCTCTCTGTGTGTGTGTGTGTGTAAAAGAGAGAGAGAGCTCACCAGCAGGCACACACAAGCCCACTCTCGTGCAGGATATATGGTAATCAAGGGACAGCTGGAAGATTATCTTTCTACAGTTGGTTATGGAGACAGCTCAGGTTCTCAGGATCACACAGTGAGCCCTTTCCTCTATATCTTGCTGGTCCTATTGATAGACTTTCTTACATAAATTCTCTCTCTCATTTTAACTGTTTATCCATTTGTTGACCTTGTTTATTTGTTTCTTAACACAGGGTTTGTGTGTGTAGCTCTTTAACTTGCTGTGTTGACCAGGCTGGCCTTGAATTTGGAGATTCCTGTTTCTGCCCATGGAGTGCTGGAATTAAGAGTATTTAACACCACACTTGTCATTTTATTCTTAGTTTGTAAGATGGTGATTGCTTTCTGTGGGCTGAGTTAAGAGAGTTGCCACAGTGTAACCGCCAGGAGGCCCCTCTTTCTGAGGTAGGGAGTTCAAGTGTCTTCGGACTGGGGTTCCTCTTCTTGGTCTTGCACACTGATAGGAATGGAGGAAGTGAGACCCAACCAATGAGTTTCCTGTTGGTGTGTTCAGCCCGTGGTTTTCACCTGCAGTTGGGTTTTTCTTCGGTGTCCAGGCACGGAGTGAGTACACATTCTGTAGCACAGCAGTGCGAATGTGACTGGAATGTTTCCCGGGTGTCATTGGGAACAGTGGTCAGGAGGTGTTTCTGCTCTAGACAGAAGGAAAAGCTTTGCACGGAATGCATTGTTTCCCCTGTTCTGATTCTAGCTTTTTACAACATGAACTTGTACTTCTTCATTCCCAGTTTATTACTTGATTCAGAAAATTTATCAGAGTTTGTATTCTTTCCATGAAGAAAGAACTTATGATTTTGTTTTTTTCCATATATTTTTATTTAACTTTTTACGCATGTCACTTTCAGTTCCCTCTCCCTCCCCTCCTCCCCCACCTCCCAGTCCTCCCAACCTATCACCCCCACTCCACCCCCCCCTGCTCCCCAGGGAGGGCAAAAGCCTCCATGAGGGATTTTCAGTGTCTATCACATCATCCTGGGAAGGGCCCAGGCTCTTCCTTGTGTGTCCAGGCTGAGAGAGCATCCCTCTGTGTGGTATGGGTTCCCAGAGTCCTTCTGTATGCCAGGAATAAATACTGCTCCACTCTCCCAGGTCCCACAGATTGCCAAGGCCTCCTCTCTGTCACCCAGGTTCAGTGGCAGGGTGTCTGGATTAGTCCCATGCTGGCCCCTCAGTCATCAGTCTGGGGGTCATGTGTTTCCCCTTGTTTAGGTCAGTTGCCTCTGTGGGTTTCGCCAGCCCAGTCTTGATTCCTTCGGTCATTACTCTTCTTTGCAACTGGGTTCCATGTGTTCAATTCAGTTCACAGCTGTGGGTGTCTGCCTCTGCCTCTATCAATCATTGCATGAGAGTAGTTCTCATTATCATGGGAGGGCATTTAAGGTAGCCTTAATGCCAGTTGGTGTCGTTGTAGATCTGTGAAGATTCCACTAGTGCCAGATCTCTCCTCCAACTCATACTGGCTCCCTCTTTTCTTGTATCTCCCATCCTTTTCTCCTCTATTCTTACCCTGGCTCAACCTTCCTGTTCTCCCATGTCTTCCTCTCCCCTCCCCTCCCCTCCTCTTCTCTCTCTCTCTCTCTCTCTCTCTCTCTCTCTCTCTCTCTCTCTCTCTCTCTCTCTCTCTCTCTCTCTCTCTCTCTCTCTCTCTCTCTCCCATTTCCTTCTACCCTCCTCTCCCCCCAATCCAGTTAGGAGATCGGATCCCCTAACCCTTCTCCGGGTTACCATGCATATCTCTCTTAGGGTCCTCCAAGCACCCCAGACTCTCTGGCGGTGGGGTTGTGGGCTGGCAATGCCATGCTCCATGTCTAAAATCCATATATGAGTGAGTATATACCATGCTTGTCTTTTTGTAACTGGGTTACCTCACTCAGGATGGTTTCTTCCAGTGCCATCCATTTGCCTGTAAATTTCAAGATTCTAATTTTTTTCTGCTGAGTAGTATTCTGACACTGCAATGATAAACTGCACACTTGTTGAGAGTATAGGTAACTTTTTATTGTAGAAATTACTCACAAGAGAAAAACGGGCAACCCAGAGGAGTCAAGTCTTCTGCTACCAAACCGAAAGCCGAAAAGAGAGCAAGCGCTCTGCTGTTCAGTCTTTGATTACTTCCTCCGTACACGCCCCTAGCCACGCCACAAAGTGAGCCTTTATTGTATAGGGTTGCCTTGGCTATTCTAGGTCTTTTGTTTTTCCATATAAAGTTAAGGATTGTCCTTTTGTGGTCAGTGAAAAATTTTGCTGGTATTTTGATAGGGATTGCATTGAATCTGTAGATTTCTTTTGGTAAGATTGCGATTTTTACTACGTTGATCCTACCTATCTAAGAGCATGGGAGATCTTCCCATTTTCTGGTATCTTCTTTAATTTCTTTTTTTTAATGACTCAAAGTTCTTGTTATACAGGTCTTTCACTTGTTTGGTTAGAGTTACCCCAAGATGTTTTATGGTGTTTGTGGCTATTGTAAAGGGTGATGTTTCTCTGATTTCTTTCTCATCCCCTTTATTGTCTATATACAGTAGTGCTACTGATTTTTTTGAGTTAATTTTGTATCCTGCCACTTTGCTAAAGTGTTTATCAGCTGTAGGAGTTTCCTGGCAGAATTCTTTGGGTCGATTACGTAGACTATCATACCATCTGCAAATAGTGAAAGTTTGACTTCTTCATTTCCAATTCTTATCCCCTTGATCTCCTTTTGTTGTCTTATTGCTCTAGTTAGAACTTCAAGTACAATATTTAAGAGATATGGAGAGTGGACATACTTGTCTTGTTCCTGATTGTAGAGGAATCCCTTAGTTTCTCTCCATTTAGCTTGATGCTGGCTGTTGGTTTGCTGTATATAGCTTTTTATTATGTTTAGGTATGTTCCTGTTATCCCTGATCTCTCCAAGACCTTTATCATGAAGGTGTGTTGGATTTTGTGAAAGGCCTTTTCAGCATCTAGTGAGATGATCATGTGGTTTTTCTTTTTCAGATTGTTTATATGGTAGATTACATTGATGGATTTTCATATGTTGAACCATCCCTGCATCCCTGGGATGAAGCCTACTTGATCATGGTGTATGATTATTCTGATGTGTTCTTGGATTCGATTCGCCAGTATTTTATTGAGTATTTTTGCATCAATGTTCATGAGGGAGATTGGTCTGTAATTCCCTGTCTTGGTTGTGTCTTTGTGTGGTTTGGCTACTAATGTAATTGTAGCCTTGTAAAAAGAATTTGGCAGTGATCCTTCTGCTTCTATTGTGTGGAACAACTTGAAAAGTATTGGTATTAGCTCTTCCTTGAATTTTTGGTAGAATTCCACACTGAAACCATCTAGCCCTGGACTTTTCTTGTTTGGAAGACTTTTTATGGCTGCTTCTGTTTCTTTAGGGGATATAGATTTGTTTAAATTGTTTATCTTGAGTTAATTTTGGTAAGTGATATCTATCCAGAAAATCATCCATTTCCTTTAGATTTTCCAATTTAGTGGAGTACAGATTTTCAAAGTATGACATGATGATTCTTTGGATTTTGCCAGTGTCTGTTATGTCTCCTTTTCATTTCTGATTTTGTTTATTAGCATGTTCTCTCTCTGTCTTTTAGTTAGGTTTGAAAAAGGTTTGTCTATCTTGTTGATCTTCTCAAAGAACCAACTCTTTGTTTCATTGCTTCTTTATTGTTTTCTTTGTTTCTACTTTATTGATTTCAGCTCTCAATTTGATTATTTCCTGGCATGTACTCCTCCTGGGTGAGTTTGCTTTTTTTGTTCTAGAGCTTTCAGGTGTTCTGTTAATTCTCTAGTGTGGCAATTCTCCAGTTTCTTCATGTGGGCATTTTCCTCTTAGAACTGCATTGCTTTCAAAGTATCCCAAAGGTTTGTGTATGTTGTGCCTTCATTTTCATCGAATTCTATGAAGTCTTTTATTTCTTTATTTCTTCCTTTACCTAGGGGTGATGCAGTTGAGCATTGTTTCCATGAGTTTGTGAGGTTTCTGCAATTTGTGTTGATGTTGAATTCTAATTTTAGCCGTGGTGGTCCGACAGGATACAGGGGTTATTCCACTTTTTTTGTATCTGTTGACGTTTGCTTACTGCCAAGTATGTGGTCAATTTTTGAGAAGGTTCTGTGTGGTGCTGAGAAGAAGGAATATTCTTTTATGTTTGGGTGGAATGTTCTATAAATGTCTGTTGAACCCAATTGGGTGATAACTTCCGTTAGTTCCATTGTTTCTTTGTTAAGTTTCTGTCTGGTGGACCTGTCCAGTGGTCTGAGTGGGGTGTTGAAGTCTCCCACTATAAGTGTGTGGGGTTTAATGTGTGATTTGAATTGTAATGTTTCTTTTATGAACGTGGGTGTCTTTATATTTGGGGCATATATGTTCATAATTGAGACTTCTTCCTGATGGATTTTTCCTATGGTGAATATGAAGTGACCTTCTTCATCTCTTTTGATTAATTTTAGTTTGAAGTCAATTTTGTTAGATATTAGGATAGCTACACTCGCTTGCTTCTTACGTCCATTTGATTGGAACATCTTTCCCCAACCCTTAACCTTGAGGTAATTTCTGTCTTTGAAATTGAGGTGTGCTCCTTGTATGTAGCAGAAGGATGGATTCTGTCTCTGTATCCATTCTGTTAGCCTGTGTCTTTTTATAGGTGAGTTGAGACCATTGATATTCAGGGATATTAAAGACCATCGATTGTTGATTCTTGCTTGCTTTGGATCCGTTTTTGGTGATGGTTTTATGTGTGAGGATTTCTCCTATTTCTGATTTCTGGTAAAGTTAGATTATCTATTGCCTGTGTTATTTTGAATGTAGTTAACTTCCTTGGGTCAGAGTTTTCTTTCTAGAACTTTCTGTAGGGTTAGATTTGTGGATATGTATTGCATAAATCTGGTTTTGTCATGGAATATCTTGTTTTCTCCATCTATAGTGATGGAGAGTTTTGCCGGGAATAGTAGTCTGGGCTGGAATCTGTGGTCTCTTAGTGTTTGTAGAACATCTATCCAGGACCTTCTGGCTTTCATAGTTTCCATGGAGAAGTCGGCTGTAATTCTGATAGGTTTGCCTTTTTATGTTACTTGGCCTTGTTCCCTTGCTGCTTTTAGTATTCGTTCTTTATTCTTTGTTTGGTGTTTTGATTATTATATGGCAAGGGGATTTTTTTCTTTGGTCCAGTCTATTTGGTGTTTGGTAAGCTTCTTTTAGTTTCATAGGCATGTCCTTCTTCAGGTTGGGAAAATTTTCTTCTATGATTTTGTTGAATATGTTTTCTGTACCATTTAGCTGGCTTCTTTGCCTTCTATACCTATTATTCTTAGATTTGGTCTTTTCACAGTGTCCCATATTTCCTGAATATTTTGTGTTAAGGATTTGTTATATTTAAGACTTTCTTTTGTCAATGAATCTATTTCCTCTAGTTTATCTTCAGTGCATGAGATTCTGTCTTCCATTTCTTATATTCTGTTAGTTATGTTTGCATCTGTAGTTTCTGATTGTTTTTTCAGCCTTTCGAATTCCAGCATTACCTCAGTTTGTGTTTTTCTTATTGTCTCCATTTTAGTTTTCAGGTCTTGAACAGTTTGAATTGTTTCCTTCCCTGAACTGTTTGATTGTTTTTTCTTGGGTTTCCTTGCTTTCTTTAAGAGATTTGTTGGTTTCTTGTAGCTTTTGGTTTTGTGCTTTCTTTAAGGGATTTTCTCATATCCTCTTTGAGGGCCTCTATCACTTTCACGAGGTTGTTTTGAAGGTCATTCTTTTCTGTTTCATCTGTGTTGATATGTTCAGGTCTTGATGGTGTAGAGTTTCTATACCCTCGTGGTGTCATACTGGTTTCTCTGTTGTTGGCTGTGTTTTTATATTGCCTTCTTCCCATCCTTTCTTTCAGTGGGAGCTCGTGGGGTCTCTTCCTCTCTTTAAGCACCAGGAAAGGACCAGAAGACACAGGTGTGGGCAGACTCAGGGTGGTCCTTCCAGGAGGGGCAGGTCTTCTTTAGGTGCAGCAAACATCAAGGGAGAAGGAGCCGGGGATGTAGGGAGCTGGGGCTCAGAGCGGGACCCCCACTCACCTTAAGCACCAGGAAAGGACCAGAAGATACTGAAGACTGAGGTATGAGCATACTCAGGGTGGTCCTTCCGGGAGGGGCAGGTCTTCTCTAGGCACAGAAAACGCCCAGGGAGATGGAGCCAGGGATGTTGGGAGTTGGGGCTCAGAGTGGGACCCCCACTCACATTAAGGCATGATTTTGGTTTTTTCCTACAATCAAGCTTTATATTGAAACATTTGTAAACTTGACATCATTAAATCTTTGTTTAAACAACTTTTCTTCTTTCTCTCCCTGGACCAGGATCTTACTTTCTGTTATCTTCTAATATGCTATGAATTTTATCGTGCATAGAAACATGCATAATTGTTCTATATCTGGCCTACAGTTTGCAGCTTAAGATATCAAATGTATAATTTAAGTTGCTAATTCACGCCCGTAGTAATCACATACTAAATTTCAGTTTCCTTCTCTGTGAATCCTAGTGACCCAATTTCTGGCTCAGTCATAGTTTGTTCTTTGCATCAAGACGGGAGCCTGAAACAATAGTACATTTAGTTTCCTTTATACTTAGGCTAACTGCAGTGATCATGGTACGGGTCAAAGCTCAAGACATTGTATTGGGCATTACTTTTGACCAATAGGAGTGTGTAAATATAGATTATATGTGTAAACTTATCTGCATATTCTTACTTTAAATCAACAGAAAAGTAATATCTAAGCATTGCAGAAAAGCAGACAATGGTTGAAACAAGGGAAGATATCTGTTAGGAAGTGATGTTCACATCTCTCCAGGTAATGGTCCTTTATGGCTTTTGCCCTTCCAATGTCTTTCTGAATAGAGATTCATTTATTTAGGTCATATCATATAGTTATATAGATCCATAAACATTATTTTAAAGAAAGTTTTCATTATATATACAAACCCCAGTTTCCCCTCTCTCCCCTTGCACACAGTGACACACTTCCTCCAACAAGGCCATACGCACTCCAACTTCAACAAAGCCACACCTCCTAACAGTGACACTCCCTGTGAAATTTTGGGGGCTAATTGTGTTCAAATTACCACATTACTAGCCACCAGAAGTTTGTAGCAACATCATAATGCAAAATGCATTTAGTCCAACTCTAAAAGTCCCCATAGTGTATCACAGTGGCTCAACAATGTTTAAAGTCCAAAGTTGCTTCTGAGATTCATACAATCTCTTAAGTGTAAGCACCTGTAAAAATCAAAATCAAAAGGCAGATCACATAATGGCACAGGATATACATTACTTTTCCAAAACATAGGGAAGGGAGCATCATGAGGAAATACTGCACCAAAGCAAGACCAAACACCAAGTGGGCAACTCCAAACTGTACATCTCCCTGTGTGATGTCAGAACACTCTTCAGATCTCCAACTCTCTTCAGCTTTGTTAACTGCAATGCACTGCTCTCTCTTGGGCTGGTTGCACTCCCTGTTGCAGTTCTCCTTGGCAGGTGTCCCTTGACTCTGGCATCTCTAACACTGGGTTCTCCAGGGCAATCCAGACTTTACCTTCATAGCTTGACACAATGGTCTCTGTACTAGGCCTGCATTCAGGATCACCCCGACACAAGCCTGGCCTCATTGCCTTTATTCCGTAACTCCTTTCTTCTGTTCTAGAACTCACTGTGTAGTCTAGCTGGCCTCAAAGGGATTTTCTTGCTGGTATTAACAGGGTCACTATTGGGCTTCAAGTCCAGTTCTTATCTAAGAGATAGGGAAACTGACAAAGGAGCTTGTGCTGAGGCCAAATGAGTCAGGATCAGAAGTCCAGTATTTCTTCACTTGGATGCCAGTCATCTTTACTCTTTCCTGTTACAAACACATGGGTACACTTCATGTATACACATACACACATGCTGAGTCACTCAAAGTTGTCAGATTTGTCTAGGAAATAAAGACTCAAAAGGCACTACACAACTCCAAGAGGAATCAGTGCCTGAGAAGTTGGCCTCTAGAATAAAGAAAGTTAGAAATAAGCAAGAAGCTATTTTCTTTCCCTTGGAATGATAGCTGTTAAAGTGAAGGACCAAGAATGTAGATCATATTAAGACAGCAATGATAGGGCTTATCAAGTATTTAACAGTGGTAATAATTTCTGCATCTAATAAATTTAAAATTATGAGCACATTTAAATTACCAGTAATGTATACTGCATTGGGATTTTGTTAATCTTTTTTTTTTTTTTTTTTGAGATAGGGTCTAAAACAGCCAAAACTGACTTCAAACTCACTATGCACCAGCAGATGACTGTAGTGCTTTGAATAAAAATGGCCCCACAGGCTTATGTTTGAATATTTAGTGGTCAGTTGGTGGATCTCCTTGGGAAGGATTAGGAGGTATGGCCTGTCAGTGAGGGTGGGTGTGATGGTATGAATGAGAATAGTCTCCATCGCTCATATATTGGAATGCTTACTCACCAGTTGGTAGACTGGCTGAAAATTAGCCTTGTTGGAGGTGTTTTGCCCCTGGGGATGGATGGTCTTTGAGGTGTCAAAAGCCCATGCCAGGCCAAGTCTATACCCCACCCCCTGGCCCAGGTTATTGCCTGAGGACAAGGATGTAAAACTCAGCTACTTCTTCAGCACCATGCCTGCCTGCAGGCTGTCATTGTCTTCACATGTTGATGATTGTCTAAGCCGCTGAAGCTGTAAAGAAGCCCCAGTTAAATGCTTCCCTTTATAGGAGATGCCTTGGTTATGGTGTATCTTCACAGGAGTAAACAGTCACTAAGATATGAGCCTCTGAGATTCCAAAAGACCTGTGCTATGCTCAGCTCTTCCTGCCTCCTACAGATTTTCCTGCTGCCATGCTTTTCTTCCACCACATTGGACTTTATCCCTCTGAAGCTGCAAACCCAATTAAACACTTTCTTCTATAAGATGCCTTGGTCATGGTGTTTTGTCACAGCAACAGAAAAGTAACTAAGACATTGACCTTGAATTTATGATCTTCCTGTCTCCATCTCTAAGAGCCAGGATTATAGGAGTGTGTCATCATGCTTGACTTAGTCTGTTTTAAAGCTTGCCTTTTCACAAAGTGAAAAAAAAAAACCTTAAACTTTCTGAACAATGCAGCCTAAGATTTTTATTTAAACATCAACACTTTGTATTTCATATACAATAAAATACATTACAATGATTTCTCGACCACCTGCCTGGGCCTGGGTTCTGCCACTGAGGCTTCCATCCCGGCAGAGGCGGCAGGAGCCAAGGTGCCATAGTTTCCGGCTCCACCTACTGAACTAGGACTATACTGCCTACCTGTGCTCGGGGACTGCCACAGCAGCTTCCACCCCAGAGGCAGGAGCAAACTCACCCTAGCATCCTAGTCTCCTGCTCCACCCACATGACAAAGACTAAAAGGGCCGGTCTCCAGACAACACTCCTGTGCCTGGGGTATACCACTGGGGCTCCCATCCATCCAAGTGAGATCCAAAGCACCCCAGCATCCTAGTCCATTTTTCCACCCAAGAGTACAGGAAGTGGAAAACTACCAGGACAGTGGACTTGCTACAACCAGAAGGGAACCCTGGTCCCACACCCAACAGAAGAGGCACCCTCTGGATCCCACTGCAAGAACGGATGGGAAGGAGACAATATAAAAACACAAAGAGCAACAGAAAAACCAATATGACACCACCAGAGTCCAGAGACCCTACACCAACAAGACTGGAACACCCCATCACAAATGAAGCAAAAGAGAATGACATAAAAACCAACTTCATGGAAATGATAGAGGCCCTCAAAGAGGATATGAAAAAATCCCTTAAAGAGATGGAAAAAAAAAACAATTAAAAAATGCAAGAAATGGCACAAAAGACAAATCAAAAATTGCAAGAAACAATTCAAACAGTGCAAGGGCTGAAATCTGAAATAGAAACAATAAAAAAAAACACAGTCTGAAGAATACTGGAAATAGAAAAGCTGGGAAAATGGTCAGGTATTACAGATGCAAGCATAACCAACAAAATACAAGAAATGGAAGAGGGAATCTCAGGTGTTGAAGATACACTAGGAGAATTAGACTCATCGACCAAAGAAAATTTTAAGTCCAACAAATCCCTAACACAAAATGTCCAGGAAATATGGGACACCGTGAAAAGACCAAACATAAGAATAAGAGGTATAGTAGAAGGTGAAGAATCCCACCTCAAAGGGCCAGAAAACATATTCAACAAAATAATAGAAGAAAACTTCCCCAACCCAACAAAAGACATGCCAATGAAGGTACAAGAAGCCTACAGAACACCAAATAGAGTGGACCTCCCCCCCAAATCCCCTCGACACATAATAATCAAGACCCCAAACATACAGAATAAAGAAAGAATATTAGGAGCAGCTAGGGAAAAAGGCCAAGTTACATATAAAGACAAACCTATCAGAATTACACCTGACTTCTCCATGGAATCTATGAATGCCAGAAGGTCCTGGATAGATATTCTACCAACATTAAGAGTCCATGGATGCCAGCCAAGACTAATCCAGCAAAGCTTGCAATCGATATATAGATCAAGAAAACAAGGTATTTCATGACAAAACCAGATTTAAACAACACATATCCACTAACCAATGCCTACAGAAATTTCTGGAAGGAAAACTCCAATCCAAGGAAGTTAACTACTACCAGAAAAACATAGGCAATAGATAATGCCACTTTGCCAACAGGCAAAAGAAAAAGTAGTGGAAATCCACATACAATTACACCAACAACAACCATTCCAAAATAAACAAGAATGAGCTATCAATAGTCATTAATTTCCTTTAATATTAATGGTCTTAACTCGCCCTTAAAAAGACACAGGGTAACAGAATGGATTTGAAGACAGAATCCATCCTTCTGCTGCATACAAGAAACACACCTCAGCTTCAAAGACAGACGTTATTTCAGAATAAAGGGTTGGGAAAAGATATTCCAATCAAATGGACCCAAGAAACAAGCAGGGGTAGCAATTCTAATATCTAACAAATTAGACTTTAAACTAAAATCAATCAAAAGAGATGTAGGAGGTCACTTCATACTCATCACAGGAGAAATCAACCAAGATGAAGTCTCAATTCTTAACATCCATGCCCCAAATGCAAAGCCATCTACGTTCATAAAAGAAACATTACTAAAACTCAAAGCACATATAAAACCTCACACACTTGTAGTGGGAGACTTCAACACCCCACTCTCACCACTAGACAGGACCACAAGACAGAAACTTAACAAGGATATGAAGGACCTAATAGATGTTATGACCCAATTGGGTTTAACAGACATCTATAGAACATTCTATCCAAACACAAAAGAATATACCTTCTTCTCAGCTCCTCACGGAACCTTCTCAAAAATCGACCACATACTTGGCAACATAGCAAACCTCAACAGGTACAAAAAAACTGGAATAACTCCATGTATCTTATCAGACCATCATGCCTTAAAGTTAGAATTCAACAATAGCACAAAGTGCAGAAACCCTGCAAACTCATGGAAATTGAATAATACACTATTACACCACTCCTGGGTCAAAGAAGAAATTAAAAAAAGAAATTAAAGACTTACTAGAATTCAATGAGAATGAAGACACAACATAAACAAACTTATGGGACACTTTGAAAGCAGTGCTAAGAGGAAAGTTCATAGCACTAAGTGCCCACATGAAGAGACTGGAAAATAGTCACACTAGGGAATTAACAGCACAACTGAAAGCTCTAGAACAAAAGGAAGCAAACTCAGCCCAGAGGAGCAGACACCAAGAAATAATTAAATTGAGGGCTGAAATCAATAAAGTAGAAACTAGGAAAATGATAACAAAGAATCAGTGTAACAAGGAGTTGGTTCTTTGAGAAAATCAACAAGATAGACAAACATTTATCCAAACGTACCAAAAGGCAGAGTATGAGCATGCAAATTCACAAAATCAGAAATGAAAAGGGGGACATAACAACGGACACTGAGGAAATTCAGAGAATCATCAGGTCATATTTTGAAAAGCTATGCTCTACCACATGCTAAAATATTGTAACTATGTTCTTACTTGATAACTGTTCTGTTATATACAATTTGACTGTGTTAAAGTTAAGACCTTTCTTTTTGTTTAAACAGAAAAGAGGAGATGTTGGGGGAAGTCCTGTGCATTTGTCAATAAAGTACTGTTGAGCCAATAGGAAACCTAGATAGGAGGGACTAGGAGTCGAGGAGGATTCTGGGAAGGAGAAACACAGAGAGTCAAGATGTAATGCCATGGGGGTAGGAAGCCTGGAACCATTCTCCAGTAAGAGAAATACTTAGATTAACAATTATGGGGTAATTACTTAAATAAAGGTCTTCGATAGATCCGGCATAACAGGTACATACCTAAACATCATAAAAGCTATATACAGTAAACGAACAGCCAACATCAAACTGAATGGAGAGAAACTTAAGGCAATTCCTCTAAGATCAGGAACAAGGCAATGCTGTCCCCTCTCCCCATATCTCTTCAATATTGTGCTGGAAGTTCAAAAGGAGATAAAGGGGATACGAATTGGAAAGGAAGAAGTCAAATTTTCACTATTTGCAGATGATATGATAGTCTAAATAAGCGACCCAAAGAATTCTGCCAGGAAACTCCTACAGCTGATAAACACCTTCAGCAACGTGGCAGGATACAAGATCAACTCAAGAAAATCAGTAGCCCTACTATATACAGATGATAAAATGGCTGAGAAAGAAATCAGAATGATCACCCCTTACAATTACCACAAACAACATAAAGTACCTTGGGGTAACGCTAACCAAACAAGTGAAAGACCTGTATTGCAAGAACTTTGAGTCTTTAAAGAAAGAAATTAAAGAAGACACCAGGAAATGGAAAGATCTCCCATGCTCTTGGATAGGTAGAATCAATGTAGTAAAAATGGCAATCCTGCCAAGAGCAATCTACAGATTCAATGCAATCCCCATCAAAATCCCAACACAATTCTTCACAGACATTGAAAGAACAATTCTCAACTTTATATGGAAAAACAAAAAACCCAGGATAGCCAAGACAACACTGTTCAACAAAGCAATGTCTGGAGGCATCACCATCCCTGACTCTATTATAGAGCTATAGTCCTGAAAACAGCTTGGTATTGGCACAAAAATAGACAGGTAGACCAATGGAATACAATTGAAACCCTGAGATTAATCCACAAACCTATGGACAGCTGATTTTTGACAAAGAAGCTAAAATTATGCAATGGAAAAAAGATAGCATCATCAATAAATGGTGCTGCCATAACTGTATATTGGCATGTAGAAGACTGCAGATAGACCCATGTCTGTCACCATGAACAAAACTTAAGTCTAAATGGATCAAAGACCTCAATATAAATCCAGCCACACTGGACCTCTTAGAGGAGAAAGTGGGAGGTACCCTTGAACGAATTGGTACAGGAGACTGCTTCCTGAAAATAACACCAGTAGCACAAACACTGAGGTCGACAATAAATGGGACCTCCTGAAATTGAGAAGCCTCTGTAAGGCAAAGGACACAGCCAGCAAGACAAAAAGGCACCCTACAGATTGGGAAAAAATATTCACTAACCCCACATCTGACAGAGGGCTTATCTCCAAAATCTACAAAGAACTCAAGAAGCAAGTTTCCAAAACACCAAAGGATCCAATTAAAAAGTGGGGGACTGAACTAAATAGAGAATTCTCAATAGAGGAGTATAAAATGGCTGAGAGACACCTGAGAAAGTGCTCAATATCACTAGCCATTAGGGAAATGCAAGTCAACACAACTCTGAGATATCATCTTACTCCTGTCAGAATGGCTAAAATAAAAAACACCAATGACAGTTTGTGGAGAGGATGTGGAGAAAGGGGAAGACTCCTCCACTGCTGGTGGGAGTGCCAACTAGTACAGCC